TTGTTACCTTCTTATCAAGCACACCACTCCACTGTCTCGCCAGACAAACTTCACGGAACACTAGCGTAAAGCTCAACGGTCTTAGTGTGGGACTCGGTAAGAGAAGTATAGATTCAAACCCCGTGTAACACGCCGACGCTACTGCTGAAGCCGGTATAAGCTCTTTCGATTCAGCGATTGAGACGGGCGCTACTTCTGAGCTTGATCACTGTGAATTGCGTTCGGAGCATCTGTCTCGTGATGATCGGTGGCAGAACTGTAAGCCATGTGAGCTGTACATGCGAAAGACCGCTCTCAAGTTTTATCTAGTGGGACAGCCAAACGTAAATGAGCTCGGCACGACCAATAGTTAGATTAGGGTAACTCATTCAGCATTTTTGCATGAAGATTTTGGTACTACTACTCGAATAACTATTGAGCACGTACTTGACGGCATCGGGAAGTCTCCACTATTTCATTTTATCTCGCATGGTATTGTATCATCTAATACTCCATACCCGCTTTAGCCGATTGTTGTGTGGTGTCCTGGTGCACATGATAGGCCTCAAAGCGTATATTACTATGACTGAAGCCATGTATCCGCTGATGTCTAGCCTACCCATTGTAGAACAGGAAATCTGTAGATACTATAAAGCATGCTAGTTACATACTTTAAGCGGCTTATTGTCTACTTATGTAATAAGACTATCTTTCCCCTCTTTCACCCTCGCCACATTTCTGCGGCGTTGTACTGCTGTATCACGACTACAGAATGCTGGCACCTTTGATCACGCTTACAGCCAGTAAATAGGGCGAAGGATTCAACTTGAAACGTGGCCCTGCATTCATTCTACCTACGCCGCAATCATGTGTTCAGCGATCGCTACCACTACCGAGCAACCGAGCATACTACAGCACGGCAGCGAGCCCTTATGTATGACCCATCGAATAGTAACTAGTGAACATCACAGCTTTACAGCTTCCTCTACTGAGTGGGTGTCCCAGTTGTGGACATCTCTCATGTTATCCTAATAATAGAACAAAGAACAAATACTAAAAAGTAATAGGCCATCCTAGAAGAACGTGTTATAAAACCAATTCGAATAATAATTACATGAATGCATTTTAGATAACAAAGCTAGGCTTATTACACTAAATTCGCGAATATTGCTAATCGCTCTAGCAACGGAGAAACTTTTTGATCACCCCCATAGATTCTCATCATGTCGAAACAAGGGTCTAAAACCATGATACCTAGATTATTATTTAACATTGCCGAGGAAGGAATTCTGGGAAAAATAGCTGCGTTGACTAAGGTGACAGTTGAGACACGAAATGTCGTCGCCAGTGTAGTAACGATGTACAGGTACTCTATTGCGTATTTTTCTCTTTGAGCATTATTTATACATAGTTATTATATATGCAAATAAAAATAACAAGAGCTTGTAAATATGTTTTTGTGAGTTTTTTTACGTCTTATCTACTTGCGTAAGGAATAGTGTTCCGCTACACCGGTTGTTCAGGTAATAAGGGATGCACATCAGTTCGTTTTGTTAGGATGATGACCTCGCCATCTTTGGTAAAGAACTCGATATTTGGGAGTATATGAACTTCATCAAGGGGCCTCATGCTGGCCTACTCGCGTATCTGGGCACTTACATATCGATCAAAAGTCCCTAGGGCGGTTAGCTTAATAGTATTGATGAAAGCGGAAATGATATGAAACACATTGCAGACTTGACGATACTTAGCGGCTTGCTTCAGTCGCTCAGATCTAACAAGGAGAGTTGTGATTTCTTCAAAGATCTAGGATGGTAGTTCTAGCAACGGCATTGTTACTGCAGCCTTGTCGAGGTTGTATGAAAGTGGTATGAAAGTTGTGTGGAAGCTTCATAAAGGTTGAGTGGAAGCTATGATGAGAAGAAGACCAAGGATAAAATAGTCAGTCTTAAAATAGGACGCAGCAATGTCAACCCAGTACATGCCCATAATTCACTTCTGACGTGACTTGCTTCACACTCGCCTAATTCACACTCACCTCGGTTTGATAGGTCCAGGATTCTGGACCGACGTTCAAGGAATACAAATTTCACTTTAGTTCTGACGTCGCCGAATTCACTTTCACTTCATATTGACTATTGTGGAGTACCTGATGTATGAGTGAGAACGGATATGGTAGAGGGACCTTGACTCTGTTTTATCCCGGATATTACCGTCACATTGCATGGGAGTGAAACGATACGGAAGCCAGCCACACCACTAATAAATTCAATTCAAGATATCTGGTACACCTAATGTAATACGACACTTTTTCTTCTGAAATTCGGGCTATTCTTAAACGCGCTTTAATACGGGTTTGCGCGATGTGAATCTCTTCTGCAACTCTCGTCCTTTTACCACAGCAACTCCGACGGCACGAATGTACTGAGGGTGTTTTTACCTTCGCCTTGGTTTTTCGTACCATGCTGGAGTTCAGGTAGCTAGTCACAACGAAAAAACGTAGCTATAGAAAATCCTTGCAGCGGTATTGACTGGCATGGAGTTTGTAGGCGCTGAATGGCCTAATGGCAATTCGTGCAGGTATTGTGACGAATCAGCACGCGCAACCTGTTCACAGCTGCAGCCACCAAACAGCCATGGAGCTGGCACACAGCCACGATCACGCCAAGACCATCATGTCACACCAGGCTTCTCCAGCCTACTTTCTGCTGCCTAGACAAGCTTTCTCACTCAAAAGCCTGGCATATCGTGGTCCACCTCTTGCATATGATTGCATCCATTCACCACTAATCCATATTATTTAATGCGCCTTCTCAAACGTGACGAAAATGGCGGAATCATCATTGAAAGCTTCAGCGACGGGCTGGCGCCTCCTCCTTATGCGATATTGTCTCACACATGGGGTGAAGACAACGACGAAGTAACCTTTGCGGATATCGTTAATGGGAATGGGAAGGGCAAGGTCGGTTACAACAAGATCTGCTTTTGCGACAAACAAACACAACGTGATGGTCTACAGTACTTCTGGGTCGATACGTGTTGCATCAACAAGGACGACAAGGCTGAGCTTTCTCAAGCGATTCAATCCATGTTTCGTTGGTACCAGAACGCGAAAACATGCTATGTCTATCTATCGGACGTACAAACGAAGGAGAGAAAAGTCGGAGAAACAGTAAATGGGCCCGATTGGCAGGCTATGTTCACGTCTAGCCGCTGGTTTACGCGTGGCTGGACGCTTCAAGAGCTAATCGCGCCGCGCACGGTTAAGTTCTTCTCCAAAGAAGGGAACGAACTGGGTGACAGATCTTCGCTGCGATGCTTGATTAACAAGATAACAAGCATTCCCCTTCAAGTGCTTGACGGAGGTGCAGTGTCTCAATTTAAAAGTGATGAACGGCAGCGATGGGCAAACGACAGGAACACAAAGCTTAAAGAGGACAAAGCGTATGCGTTATCAGGCCTTTGCGGTGTACACATTGCACCTGTGTATGGCGAGGGTGAAGAAGAAGCATTCAGACGACTTCACAGTGAGATTGAGAAGCTGGAAGCCTGCGTTCGTCATTTGCGAGATAGCGATCCTCGCAACGACAAAAAGCGCATTGAAGAAACAAAGGGAGGCTTGCTATTTAACTCATATGATTGGATCTTAGATCACAGCACTTTCCATCAGTGGCAGCACGATCCTACTACCCACTTGCTCTGGGTAAAGGGTGATCCTGGCAAAGGCAAAACGATGCTGCTGTGCGGCATAATCGACGAGATACAGAAGAACATAACATATAACACGGTCGCTTACTTCTTTTGCCAAGCAACAGACTCGCGCATCAATAATGCTGTAGCGGTTCTGCGAGGGCTGTTGTATATGCTTATAGATCAGCAGCCACTCCTGGCGCAGCACGTCCAAAAGCAACACGAGCATGCAGGCAAACATCTATTTGAGGATGCCAACGCATGGATAGCACTACGAGACATATTCAGAGACGTCCTTCAGGATCCAAACCTTGGTAGAACATGTTTTATCGTCGATGCCCTAGACGAGTGCATCGTTGATCTACCAAAGCTGCTAGATTTTGTGGCTAAACAGTCATCAGAGTCTGATCGCGTCAAGTGGATCGTGTCTAGCCGCAACTGGCCTGATATTGAAGCACAGCTAGAGGGAGTGGGAAACAAAATCAAGCTGAGTCTTGAGCTGAATGCAGACTCAATAGCCACAGCGGTTGGCGCCTTCATTGAGCAAAAGGTGAACATTTTAGCTACCAAGAAGCAGTACACACGAGGGCTACAGCTAGAAGTGCTTCAACATCTGACCTCGAACGCTAACGACACTTTCCTATGGGTGGCGTTGGTTTGTCAAAACCTGGAGAAAACACCTACAAGGCATGTACGGAAAAAGCTCAATCAGTTCCCACCTGGTCTGGACGCTCTTTATGAGAGGATGGTGAGCCAGATCAGTGGACTAGAGGATGCTGAAGCCTGTCTACAAGTTCTAGCGTTAGCTGCAGTTTCATATCGACCTATAACCATCCCTGAGCTAGTCACTCTAGCCGAACAAGTTCAGGAGAATACTGACGATGTAGAGGAGATCGTCGCTTTTTGTGGATCCTTCCTCACACTACGAGAAGGCATTCTTTACTTTGTGCATCAATCAGCCAAGGACTTTCTACTCACCAAAGCGGCCTTACAGATTTTCCCAGACGGAGCAGAGGCTATCCATTATTTGACCTTCTTAAGGTCCATGGAAGTTATGTCTAGTAGACTTCACAGGGACATCTATAATCTTCAAGAGCAAGGAATTGCTAACAAGGACATCAATATACCTGTACAAGACCCTCTCGCGCCTGTACGCTACTCTTGCGCTTACTGGGCGGACCATCTCCGGGACTCAAATTCTGACTGGTCCAATGATAATGCAGAGAGACCAAAACTCATAGCCACAATCGAGAGTTTCTTCAAGGAGACATTTCTATACTGGATCGAGGCACTCAGTCTATGTCGGAACGTAGAACAGGGTATCGCAGCCGTTGCTAAAGTCCTTCTAGTGATGCAGGTACGGCTGAGACTGACATATCATAGCTAGTATGCTAACACAGCCAGAATGTCGAAAAAGGGATTGAACTTGATTCACTCATGAATGATGCGTGGCGTTTCATCATGCATCACAAGAATATGATTAAAAAATGGCCACTGCAGATCTATACGTCAGGGATCCTGTTCAGTCCTAGAACAAGCATCATCAGAGACGTCTTCGAATCCCAATCGCAAGGGTGGAATGTCCGACCATATCTAGAACACAGCTGGGGAGCATGTTTACAGACGCTCGAGGGGCATAGTAGGTGGACCTTCTCAGTAGCCTTCTCTCCAGATGGAACGAGGCTGGCATCAGCGTCATTTGACTTTATCGTCAAGATCTGGGACGCAAATAGCGGACAGTGCCTGCAGAACCTCGAGGGGCATAGCGATGGGGTCAAATCAGTAGCCTTCTCGCCTGATGGAACGATGCTAGCGTCAGCGTCGTACGATACAAAGATCAAGATCTGGGACGCGCATAGCGGGCAGTGCCTACGGAATCTCGATGGGCATTTTAGTTTCGTTTTTTCAGTAGCCTTCTCTCCAGATGGAACGATGCTAGCGTCAGCGTCGTACGATACAAAGATCAAGATATGGGACGCGTATAGCGGACAGTGCCTGCAGAATCTCAAGGGGCATAGATATGGGGTCAACTCAGTAGCATACTCGCCCGACGGAACGAGGCTAGCATCGGCATCGGAAGACCAGACGGTCAAGATATGGGACGCGGATAGTGGGCAGTGCCTACAGACGCTTAAGGAACATAGTAGTCCAGTTCGCTTTGTAGCCTTCTCGCCTAAGAATACCACAAGGCTAGCGTCGGCATCAGAAGATCAGACGGTCAAGATCTGGGACGAGTATAGTGGACAGTGTCTACATACGCTTAAGGGGCATCAAGATTATGTTAACTCAGTAGCCTTCTCGCCCCATGGAACGGAGCTGGTATCAGCGTCAAACGATAGGACTGTTAAGATCTGGGATATGGATAGCAGGATGTGTCTATATACGCTTGACGGGTTTGGCGATTCGGTTTCATCAGTAGCCTTTTCGCCCAATGGAATGAGGCTAGCGTCCGCGTCAAACAAGCATGTGAAGATCTGGGATGCGCGAATTGGGTTTTACTTACACAAACCTGAAAGGCATAGCAAGGAGGTTGGTTCGATAGCCTTCTCGGCCGACGGAACAAGGTTAGTGTCAGTTTCAAGCGAAGTTAAGATCTGGGATGCGTATAGTGGGCGGTGTATGCAGACTCTCGAGGGCCAAAACCATAAGGTCAGCCCAGTAACTTTATTGCCCGATGGAGCATATCCGATTCTCGGTCAGGGCAAGATTTTTCCACATGCCTCCATTGTTGGCGCCGCTAGCAACATCATCAATCTTGGCTATGTACGCAAAATTGGTAGAAACATACGCTTAGACAACGACTGGATCTCATTAAGAGGAAAAAGGATTCTCTGGATTCCTGAAGAATATCGCGCTCACAGGTCAACGATCAGGAACAACAAGATTGCAATTGGCACGAAACATGGCAGAGTATGGATATGCACTTTCCATGGCTCAGTTGAAACTTCTTAGAGAATAAAATCCTTTTTGTCATTCTCGGACACGTCATTTCCTTCGCTTTTTTATTCAAACTTGATTCAAAAAGAGGGGCACGAACGCACAACTACACATCCTCGACACGCCCCCTAACACTAGAGAAAGTACCAGCTCAGCCATATCACGTTATACTCCCAAAATTAAGCAAACAACGTCGGATCCGATATCTCCAAATACCTGGTACATGAGAGAAGCTTCCAAAGGCAAACCGCATACGCCACACCTTCAGTCTGATCAGACAGCATATCGGACGTAGCGCGCAATACTTGACATAAAATACGTGCATACGACTACGCTACCCCAAGCTACATGCATACCAAGCCTCTGTTGAAACGCACAACTAGTAGCACAAGTTTCCATGATCTCGCAGTCTGCGCGGAGTAATTGCTGAAATGCGTATTTCCTTCAAGTCAACTCTTCAGGTCTGCATTCTGGAACACTGCTGCTTTGAGTCCCATGACAGCCTACTAAGCATTCCCTCACTGCCACCAAAAAATTTGTTTCAGCGTTGGAAACTAAAGTGCTAAAAAACGAGTGCTCTAGTATATATGCGCTACGTATACTTTCTTGTAAACTGCATTGGACAACGGCACAAATTTGCAGAAGAAAAAGAACGATTCTCAAAAGCCACTTAAATCAGTATCTCTACTGGAAAGTGATACAAGTCACACACACGGGACCGAAGCTTGCACGCGAAAAAAAGAACCAGGTCAACAATTCATTGTAGAACACCAATACACCTATCTAAAATATGAAAGACAGCTATATAACACTATACATCCAAAGTCCACCTTACCAAACATGCCCCTTGGACTGCTTAATCTCCTTGACATTAATATTCCTCCAAAGCAAAATGCCCACAGCAGCAAGAACCCAAAGCCCCGTCGCAATCGACAGCAGCCTCGTAAACGCATCTACATACGCACGCTGAATCGCCAAACGCGTCGGCGAACCCATCGGAAAAGCCAGCTGCGTCGTAATATCACTATAAATCATGACGAGATTTGGCAAGTCATCCGCAGGCAGATACCGCATGAGTCGCGAGGGCAGGATATCAGTCCAGACAGACGCAGCAATGGTGTACCCGATTGCGCCGCCGATATTGCCAAAGATGCTGACGATGGCGAGCATGGATGCGACGTTGTCGTGGGAGCCAGCTGAGAGGATGGCGATTTCGTCGGTGATAATGAGGAGGCCCTGTGAGATGGAGATGAAGAGGAAGCACATGACAATGTATCCGATGTTTCCCGGGGCTAAGAAATGGATCATGAGGCCCTGGCCGAGGATGCTGAGGGGCAGGCCGACGACGATGGAGATGAGCTTGAAGTGGCCGGTGCGGTGGATGACGTAGCCGGCGGAGAGAGCGACGAGGACGTTTAGGACGGTGAAGGATTGGGTGACGTAGCTTGCGTTTTTGACGCTGAGACCCTGGACGACTTGGAGGTAGGAGCTGAAGTAGCTGTTCCAGACGAAGTAGCTGGCGAAGAGCGAGGTGCAGAGGAGACAGGCGCCGAGCACGGTTCGGTCGCGGAGGAGGCGGTAGGGGAGAAAGCAGACGGGGGCGAAGAATTTCTCCCAGATGACGAAGAGGACCATGAGTACGATGCCGACGACTAGCATGCTGATAACTAGTGGCGACGACCAGCCTCTGCCTTGGGTGGTGTAGAGGTTAAAAGGTAAGAGGAACAAGCCGACACCAGCTGAGAGCAGAATGAGACCGACAGCGTCGAATTCGCGGCTGTAGTGCATGATGGACTGCAGCGTACTGCGGCCACTGTTGCGCTCAGGGATGAGGCCAAGACGCTGTGCCTTGCGGTAGTTGCTGAGAAGAAGACCATACAGCGGTAGAACAACAGCCGGTACAAGGATGCAAAACATGCCAAAAGCCCATCGCCATCCAGGTCCCCCAAGAAACCCCTCAGCCACAGGTCCAGCTATCCATCCCGTAATCAAAGCCGTCGTGTTCATGAGCGCCTGCATCAGTCCCCGATTCTTCAGCTTCGTCGTATCGGCAATAAAGACAGACATGATGTACTGAATGCCATTATTCCCTACTGTATGGAAAATCATAGCAGCAGCATGAGCTTCGACGCCGTTGCAAGCAGCCATCATAACCAACCCCATGGTTCCGAGACCCAGGCAGAATAGGAGACCGGGGGGCCGACCAAAGACGTCGATGACTTTGGCAATGGTAAGGTTGGTAACGCCGCCAATCACACTGCTCAGGATACTAACAGTGGGCGTGAGCGAGTGTGCGAAAAAGGCCGAAGTGACATAGGGCAACAGTGCAAGTGCAGTGCCACCCAGCAGTGTCTCGACAAAGTAGATCAGCCAGAGCATAATGTATGCTACGATAAGACTCGTCTTTGTCCACGCCATGGTAGTAGCCTCGATAGCCTGGACACCAGCCTGAGCATCACGATCCGGCTGCTCCTCATGATTGTCGTCGTTGAAAGGCGAGCTCGACGACTGTTCCGAACTGACAACTTGCGGTCGGCCGTTCTTGGCCTCGTCTGCACCCGCAGACATGTTGGACGTTGGCGATAAGAGAGGCTCCTCCTCGACAGAAGCACGAGAGCGAGAAGAAGAAGAAGAACAAGAACTAGAAGAATGCGAAGACCCCCGTGAGTAAAACGGGGATGGCGCGTTGTAAACCATTTCTTGCAGACTAAACTAGGAGAGTCCTCTTTTAAGAAAGAATGGTCGGCGGTATTGAGCAAATAAACGAAAGGGGGGGGCGAGAAGGAATGGGAATACAGGCCAAGGTGTATATGCATGCGCAACGTAGTGGGTCCCCAGTGTTGGTAGGAATGAGCACATTTGCGATTGTTGTGGCGTTAAGCCCCCTCCCCTGCTCATGCGCATGTATGTGGTGAGCCGGCTTAGTTACGGGGGTCAAAGGTGCCTTACTTCTATTCTGCGGCCGTGCCTCGCCTATGGTGCATGAGATGAACATTGAACCGGTAGTGTGCTTACTTGCCCTAGTTTCGTGGCGACCCTTACTGTAGGCCTGACGGGGCGTTGCCTGCGGTAAGCTGGTGGTCAGATTTTCCTGGGGTTTCTTCCTCCTCCAAAGCTCGAGTGCCTTTGTTCTCACGATTTATATTGCAATAATATATTTTGCATACAAAAATCACCCAAAAAGAAAAGAGGTGCATAGTTGGAAACACGATGTGCTCTGCAATGGAGGGTGGGGTGAAACTGTCTGAAATGGAAGTTGAAAAGCAATGAAAATAATTATCAGCCTATGTAATACTCCTCTTCATCATTCTAAACCCAACACTTCTACGTTAGCAACTGGCCACATCGACCAGATGTGCGTACTTTGTGAACTCCTCGTCACGTGCAAGCATCTCCCGTTCCTCAGGGAAGGTACCCAACGCCAACTCCACTCCACCATCCGCCTTCAATGGATATACTACCAAAAACCTGAACCGGCCACTGCCTCGTTCAAGTTGAGGCCTCATCGTCTCTGGGGAGCCGCCGTTGGCGAAGTAGCGACCACCAAAACTAATCTCGCTCATCTGGAACAGCATCATGTTGGAAATCATGGCGTGCATGTGGTCAAGGCCCATGTTTGCCGTAGAAAATCTCGAGTGATCTGGCAGTGATTGCAGCAGGGTAAAAGCGTCGTGTACTAATGAAGGCGTCATACGCGCTGCTGAACTGCGCAACACCTGCGCAATGTGCAGAATACTCGTTTCCTGGTCGCAAAGCTTCTCTAGGGGCATGCTGGTGCGATTGAGCGTAAGCAGGCTACCCATGTATGTGGACGGAAGCAGAGACGAAAAGTATGGTCGACCGTCAGTGGGCAACTCCAAGATCGAACACTCATCGGCATCAAATTCCCGGCCACTGTTCTTTGCTACGGAGTAGCGGGCCCTCAGCGCTGAGCGCCAGAAGAATGCTTGAACAATGTCGCTAATGGAGGGCACAGAACCGCTGAGCCCCGACTCTCTCGCGACATCTTCTTTCAACAGCTGAACCTTCTCGGGAGGAATGAGAAACAAAGTCGTATCCATCTTCCGCTCTGAAGCAGGCAGTGGCCATACTGAGTGCAGGGGATATTTGAGCAGCGATGTTCCGGACTCGGCTTGTTGTGAAGAATGCTTCGCAAGAGCTTCATCTGATGGAACAAATGGTAAAAAGTTCCATACACTGGGGTCGATCTCCTCTACCGGCCGTGCATATCCTTCCAGTTCATGAAGAACTTCGGGCAAGTTGTGATTGAAGCTCTCTGCATCGAACCACTCGCAGGAGGCCGAGGCATCCTCTTGTAGATTCTTACAGTTCTCAGCCCATGCTTTGATCGCAAGGACGGCGCCAATTCCATCCAAACAGCAATGATTCAGATCGACAGCCAGAATGCATCCGCCCTTGACAAAGTTGGCTTGCGCAACAAGTATGTCTGCGGGTAACTGTGGGAAGGTATCTTGTCTCAACACCTGCTCATCCCTGAAGGCGGACGGTACAAATCCGCCATCTCGCAGAGTCTCAAAAGATGGAAGTTCGTCGCTCAGGTCCTTGAACACTAGACGTTGACGTGCTGGGGAGCCAAAAGGTGGAACTGAAACACATAAATCACCTTTTGTGAACCCAACTTCTTGCTCTGAGCATTCGATCATTTTCCCTCCAAGAGCAGGGATAAGCTCCAGGGTTTTGTCGAGTCCCGCTTGTAGATTGGTAAAAGTCTCCTCGAAGGTTGTATTTGCGCGAAGAGGGAAGTAGAACATGAGTCCCATGTAGTGATTAGGATTGACGTAGTCGAAAGGATTTAGTCTAAAAGACTGATGTACTTTACGCCGCGCGAGCAACTGTTGCATCTTTGCTTGTTGACGCTGCACCTGTCGCTTCGTAACATTAGTTCCTTCTTCCTCAGCTATCATCGACTCAAGCGCAGCGTTGAACTTTGCTAGAGTAGGGTTTGCATAGAGATGGCGGGGGGCGAGTTTGCTCAAACCCTTGGTTGCAGCTCGGATCGCATTGACGGCTGCTGACACTCCAAGCGAGTCGAGGCCAAGTGCAAATAAGTCATCGTCAACAGAAGCGTCGCGAATGACGGGTTGAGACGACGAAAGAATTTCTCGAATAGAGTTCTGCATGGCTGCTGCAGAACTTGTGTCAACCACGAAGCTCGTCTCCTGTTCTCGAGAGCTATAAAATCTCTCAATATAGTGTTCGTAGAGAACCAAGGTAGCTTTGCGCTTGACCGTGCCTTTGTCAGTACGAATAAATGGCTTATCCTGCTGAGCAAAGGCAACATAGTCCCGGGATAATTTCACAGTGAGCCGCGACGATGCCATAGAAGTCTCAACATGAGACCAGATGCTCTCAGTCATTTCTTCGTTCTTCGAGAGAGGGTCTTTCAGCTCTATGAGGAGCCCAGCCTGAGCCTTGTTGCTACCCACAACCAGACATCCATTGATCGCAGGATGCGTGCCAATGAGAGACTCGATTTCAAGCGGCAAGATTTTGTAGCCATTAGACAAAATGATCAGATCGTCGTTGCGACCATTAAAAGCCCATAGGTTTGGCTTCTTAGGATGTTGCCGGTACAAGTCCTTGAAATTGACAAAGGACTTGTCAGGAAAGGTGTGAAAGATACCCTGAAATAAGGATGCATGCTCGTTGCGGTATACCCAGTGTTCAAAGACTCCTGGCTCTACTTCCTTGAAATCGAATCCAGAGTAAGGATGAAAAGCAAACCAAGACCAGTCCTCTCTGTCTACCACAAGGTTGCCGATGAAGAGTCCCTCTGTGGTTCCAGTCAGGTTAAGCACTCTAATGACGTCGTTAACCTTTCCAGCACTTGAGAGAGTGACCGGACCGCCAGATGCGCAGATAAACTTTGACGGTGATGACTGAAACTTAGCCAACACATCTGGTGTCTCTCCGAGCTCGTCGACGAGCGAAGGGACCATGCTCCAGATGTTGATTCTCGAGGATTTAACAAGCTTCTCAATAAGTGAGATATTTGGGATGACGCCAGACGGCCCAAGCACGCAGTGAAGGCCAAAAAGGGCGGGCATCAGAATGTCCATGATGATTCCGGCGCCGTGACACATGGGAAAAGAGGAATATATCGAGTCTCCTTCCTTCCAGTCAGCAGTCCAAGGAACCATACCATCAGCCGGGGGAAGCAAACGGACTGCATCCATTGTCCCAATGAGTCCGTGAGTCCATGGGATGGGCTTTGGAACGCCTGTGGAACCCGACGTGTGGAGATAGCAGAAAGGCTCAGTAGAAGCCATGTCGAAGGTCTTGGTGTAGGGGAATGGCTTGGTACCCTTCGCATCCAAGAGTTGATCAAGCAGTGGAATCTCGAGCAACTTCATCGGACGTTTCTGTAGAACATCTTCGACAAGAGGTACCATTGCCACTTCGCTTGCTTTGGCCCAGATTTGGCACTGAGTTGCCTCTAGCACTGCCAATGCTCCTTCAGTACTGTTCTTAGGAGAAAGGTAAAGGGCGGCATAGCCGACTTTGACGCAGGCATAGGTAATCAGAATGTGACGTAGATCATGGGGGCCGATGTAGCCAATGGGCTGGACCGATGCTGACTGCCCAACCTGTTCCTGGAGCCACCAAGCTGTCTTGTCAACAGCTTGTACAAAATGTTTGGCAGATATCTCTTTGAACTCTAAGGACTCGTTTGAAGCGCTTGCAATGGAGAACACAACGCGTTCAGGGTCCACCGTTGCCAGTTGGTCCATGATTTGAGGAATAAGTCTTCGCCCGTACGGTATCTCATCAGCATCACTGGGTGATAGAGCCTTAGTAGGTTTGACTTCATCACTAGGTTCACTCCAGGAAATGAGGGGTGAATGACCATGAGATGTAGGCGGAGTCGAGAAGCCACTGCGCAACGACATCGCGCTCGGCGAAGAATACCCACTCTTGGTACTGTCAAAAAGCTTTGGAGCCTGGAGGTAGCTCGCCGTTGTCTCGTTGATCTCGGCAAATTCTGTCGTGTGTGGCTGTTCTTTGAAATAGCTGGGCCGGCCATTCTCGTAGACCAGCTCGAGACGTGGATCCTGTTGGAACTCTCCCATGGGAGCGCTAACCCACTCTCCGTTTGCCAGTTGAGCTACGGTGCAATGCCATGGCGTAGTGTAACCTGTTCTTGTGTTCAAGAGGCTTATGGACAGTTTGTGTTCTCCAATCGATTCGTGTATCGACAGTCTGACATGGTTTGGGAATGCTTTCTTCACTGCTCCAGCAAACGCCTAGTGTCCTTGTTAGCAATGCAAACTGAAACCCTATACTTGGATAGAACACAACGATACTTACATAGCCTCTCATAAGCATCTCCTTTGCGAGATACTTGACGTCTCTCTTGTATTGATTTCGGCCACGATTCTCTCCGGTGTTGAATATGTGTTTCAAATCCGACTCTAGAAATTTTCGGTAGCCGAGATATGTCAGTTTCGTATCCGGGTTGACTGTGATTTCCTTGTCAATGTCGATATCTGGCCTTCCAAACTCGTTCAAGAGTAATCGTCTAAAGTTTGTGCAGTTGGCAACATATGTGATTTCTCGCATCTTTTCGGGCAGCGGAAAGTCGAGTAGATCTCGTAATCGAGAGAAAGCAATAGAAGTGAACTTCTTCTCCAAAGCCATCTCTCGTAGAGCTTCTCCGTAGGCCCAGGTATCGCGATCTGATATTGACAGTAGATCTGGAGTCTACATCAGCAGGCTTCCTATGTAATTTTGAGAGATTTATTACCATTGTATGTAATGCCATCCGAGATGATTGTTACTCTCGCTCCAGGCTTGTAGATTTGCTTGATTCTTGTGCACATGCTGTGCAGCCTTTCGAGAGCCAACTCTTCAGCTTTGTCTGGGAGCGAGCCAAGGACTTTGTAGACTTTGTTGGCTGATTTGAAAGGGAACGCTGGCAAACATGCTTCGACACGCTGACCTGCTTGAACAAAAGCGTCAATTCTCGACAAAAGATGTCCCCTCCCAGCAGCCAATCGCTCCCTGGAGTCATTGAATTTGTTGAGGGCATGGTCGTGCATGATCTCAAGGATGGAATTAGATATGTTGTTCATTGAGCTTGGAGTGATGGTGACGGTTGGTTCCTCTTGTTGAAGTGATAGGCCGAGTCCGATTGAACTGTCATGGCGTGTATATTGCGGATGCATTTTGCCTCGGACTGAATCGATGGAGTGACTGTCGGTTGTTTTGTACATGATTAATGTAAATGGATAAGATGATTCCTAAAACAGAGTGGTGATTGGAGTATGTGCCCAGGCTTCTGGCGTGGTCTTGGGACGCTTTCAAGACTTAAGTAGTATGGAAAACTGTGGTGGAGAAAGAGCTGCAAGGATCACATGCGTCTCTAAATGCGGTAACAACTAGTGACCTTTGTCAAGACATGTGGATTTGTGTTCATACTCGGAACACAGAGCTCAGCGCAGGTAGAGCTGACAGTCAGTTTCCCGGTAGGCGTAATTGTAGTGCCTAGGCATGTTGGTGGCCTCGTGGCTGGACGAGGTGGCAGACGATGAGAATGGGGCTCTGCTATCCGTGGCTGCATGACCTGACATGTCTATCTGACACAGGAAGGGGTACAGCAACGGCTGTGGTGTGCTCAGGGCAACGTGATGATGGCTCAGTGTGCATTCACCTGCTCGATAGCCAAGCCGTGAGCGCAGGAATGAGAAGGTTAGCAAACGAGATGGTTGATGCATCCAGTGACAGGGAGGGGCGGAGTAGTGTGGTGGTGGGCCGGCTGGCTGGGATGGCAGGGGGCCCTAGTCCTGACTAGTGCGTGGCGGTGATGGACGACACATCGCAGTGACTTGCAACCACACTCTGATCATAGTAGAGGAAGCTCACTGCATGCCAACCACAAATATGTAACTCTAACTTGCAACAACAAACCAACACCGGGGATGCGCTTGTTGCATGCGCCCGGCTGTAGTCTGACGTCCTGCAGACATGTCACCCATGTTCAGGTGGCGAAGGAAGGCCAAGCACAGTGAGACGATCGCAAAGCCACCAAACACACCAACGATCCGCAGCGTTGTACTACATCTAGGCTATAGACATGTGCTTAGTGGGGGCGGCATGCTTCTTTACTCCGTTTGAGTGGATTAGTAGGCATGGCGTCGCTTATTCTTTCCATGCTTGCCTAACGCTGATTGCTGGGGCAGATGCTCAACGGTTCTAATAAAAAAACATCAACCACAAAAACTGACAGGTTAAGCGGCTACTGCCGGCCTGTCAGATATCATAGGGACTTTGCCATAGGCCGCCTAGTTTGAGCTGAATGTGGACAGCTCTTCCCTCTGGTACGCTACATCTCTTCAGGCATAGGCATGCAGCTCATGGGCCCAATATCACAAATGCTACGTGCCTGTGCCCTTGGCCATGTCACAAGCACAATGCTAGACAGTGGCTTTGTAGGTGATATCTGAGGTGACGAAACCAGAGACCACTCGAGGCTGGCTAATGTAGTTTCCAGCAACAAGTAGTGTGTTCCACAGCCCTTGTGTGTGACCCGGAAATTCGTTCAGTCTCTGGCCTACGTAGTCGTACAATGGCGGCTAATAAGGCAACCACATGTTTACGTTGCACAGCACACGCCGCAAATCCAACGCCTGTCTTTCCAAGGCGTATGTAAGCATTCAGTACTGGAACCGGTTCGCATTGGCCTACATCTTGGACCAACTCAGCTGCAGCCGCGAAATTCCACTCGGGCCCTTGCACGGGCCCATAGCGAACATAGCGAACGGGAAGTGCACCAGTAGAACCCAGCAGACAAAACTTGCTCATGTTGAAATGTGCTCACGGCAGACGGTTGAGCTGATTCGCTTGGCGAAGGATTGTGTAATCTTGCTTGTAACTTTTCGACCTTCTACATGCGGCAGCTACTAGTTCCACCATAGTAGGCCAAGGTGCCCAGGTCAGCGCGGATCGACACACCCCCCACGCTTCCATTCACTGTTAGATGGCTTATGTGTGGCTTTTGGGCGCCATGCGCAGCGGCCGACTTGCTTTTCTGACCGACACAGCGGGCGGGCCGTTGCAAGGGGCTTCGGGACCATGTCTGTCTGTTGTAAGGCTGACGCATGTTCAGCCCCCGGGTCGCGGATCCATTCATCTAATCCACGTGTAGTCGAGATGCGTAGCCCGAGCGTTATATGCGCAAATACAACCACCTGCATAGGAAGGCGAGGCACTGCACATACATGTACGTGTCCAAGCGCACATCTACCCGTGGCTCACTAGTACCTCGTTGTCGCCATGAGCTCGCAGCCGCCACCCTATCCCTATCCCTATTCGCAGGCTGCCCGGCTTGACCCGCGCATCACACTGCCCCGGCCAGCCATCGATGCCGCATTGGCGTCCATTGTCGACTCGGTGCTGCTGCCGGAAGAACTGGACATCACATTTATGCGGGGCTTCGATCTGAGCGTGACCCTTGACATGATACTCGAGTCTCATCCGCATCTGACGCATGCACAGCATGCAGTTCCAGGCTCAGCCGGCCATACTATTCCTCTATCCTTCTTCACCCCCACCGCAGCACAGGGCCCGCTGCCAGTTTTGTTCTTTGTGCATGGAGGAGGAATGATCTCAGGTGATCGCTTCAGCACCATTCCTTCGCTCGTCGACCTGGTGCAAGATGTGCCTTGTGCCATTGCGTCAGTTGAATACCGTCTGGCCCCCGAAACTCCTGCTCCTGGTGGCGCTGAGGATTGCTATGATAGCATCGTATGGATGTCGACGCACGCTGCAGACCTGGGAATCGACGCCGCCCGAATCATTGTTTGCGGTTCATCAGGTGGTGCCCCTCTTGCCGCAGCCGCCTGCCTGATGGCACGCGACAGGTCAAGTCCTGCCGTCCCTATCAAAGCTCAAATGCTTCTTTCGCCTATGCTGGACGACAGGTGTAACAGTGTCTCGGACCGTCAGTTTGAATACGGTGTGCCGTGGAATGGCCTTACCAATCGTGCCGCCTGGAACCATGCCTTGGCCGGTCAGCGCGACACAGAACATGTTTCCCATTATCAAGCACCCTCCCGGGCCACTGACCTGTCCAATCTGCCCCAAGCGTACATCGATGCTGCAGAGTGTGAGGTCTTCCGCGACCCGGCCGTCATGTACGCCATGAATATGTGGCGTTCTGGTTCTTCTTGCGAACTGCACGTCTGGCCAGGAGGCATCCACCTATTCGATGCCATTGACAACCCTCAAGTACCCGTGGTCGGTGCAGCAATTGCTGCTAAGCGCGCCTGGCTCAAGAGAATGATGAGAGGTCCGACAGCCGACAAGGACACTGCATAATGGGTAACATTTCCCGATCTCCTGTCACATGCCAGTCCGTCCTGAAGGTGATGTGTTGCCTGACTGTTCGCGTTCCAGAAGAAAACCGTTTGTTCATTAGTGGCATTGCCTAGACTTAGGCCGACTTCCATCAGCCTCACTGTATAGATAGTATCATCTAAGAAAAATTCATCATGTTCTGCCGTTCCACTGCTCCCAAAGCCAACATTCTTGGCAATAATGCTGCATAGACGTTTATCTTTTTTAGTTATGCGCCAAAGTCTTCCACGTAAGATACTAGTCAAACCAACTAGACATTGACATATCAATGCTCAGTATTCTTAGTTGAGCCAAGATCGGCATCTGCAGGGATGGTCAGTCCCACTGCAACATCCCGGTCAAGCGACTGAGCTACATCGGGGATTAGCAAACACGGACTCGTAGTTTTGGCTGATTTAAGTTTGGACTACATGCCTGGTCTATCCTGTCCCTGCAATCCTTTGGATGCTCCAGTTAAGTGAGCATGTTTGCGCCTTTTCGTCAGCTTACCTGCGAAGAAGCGGATACAAACAGCTAATTGCACTGAGAACTAGCTAAAGGGAAAATGCACAACTCATGCGCCACGCCTTGGTCTGTTTTTTTTTAGCGTTTTCCAATCGCCACTCAGCAGGGTCTGTTGACCAAGGGGGCGGTGTTGGTAACAGGTGCGCGACAGAATGTGGGTTTGGACGAGTGTCACGCCTGACATTAGTGCTATACTGTACTCCGAAGGATCTCACACTTGCACGGAGGACATGATAGCAGCCCCGCAAAACAGTGTGCAGGAATCTCATCACTTAGCCTTGTAACCTAAGACAAATACAAATCGATATATCTATAGGTCTGGTAAACTGTCATTGTTCACATGAGATCCTCACAACTTGGAGATTTGAGTCTCTACTGCTGGCCTTGTAGTAAACAAGTGAACAGGGAATCAAACATGGGAGACATTGAACAACCCCTCAAACTACGCTCCTTAGGTTGGTAGTCACATGTCGAATTTCAATCGTATAGTTGTAACTGAACAAACGCAGGGCGATCTGAACAGCTTTCGGCAGTCTCTCATGCTCTAGGTTTTTTCAACAATGTAGGCTTATCTGCGCACTACTCACTGTCCGAAAATGCTCCTCAATTTGATCTGAAACCCACTATTTACGCTGCATTGGCACGTGTAATACAAGAACATGCCATCTTGTCAGCCATTCCTGTCGACGAAGACTCTCCAGATTCGTACTGGGTCCAACTGCCGACAATCGATCTTGCACGCCCTGTTACATTCTTGACTCGAGCGAGACCGCTGGAAGAGACCGGAGAAGACTCTGAACTCGATGAGATACTTCAAGAGCAACACAACATAGATTTCAAATCCGATTACGGCACCCTGCCATTCTGGCGCTTGCTGATTCTCCGAGATGCAGAGAACAAGCTCAACTTCACTGCCTCATTCATTTTCTACCATGCCATCGGCGACGGCGCAGCCGGCCTAGTATTCCACAAATTCTTCAGCGAAGCACTAAACGCAGCTTCCTCATCCAGCGAGCCCCTCTCAAACACCACCACACTCGTCCACTCCTCACCCTCCGCCCAACTCCTCCCAACCCTCGAACAACTTCACCCCCTCCCCCTCAACCCAAACCCAGCCGACCACCGCACCCCAGGCCTTCAAGAATGGACCGGCGACTCCATCCGCCTCCCCTGTCAAACCCACTACCGCACCCTCTACCTCTCCCCCACCTCCTCCACCGCCTTCACCCAAAAATGCAAGTCAAACAAACTATCCGTAACCGCCGGTCTCCAAGCCACCCTCGCCCACGCCCTCTTCGACACCCTCCCACCAATCACAGAAGCCCTAACCGGCATCATCCCCATCAACCTCCGCCCCTGGCTCAACCTCCCATCAGCAGACGCCACAAACGCAATCGGCAGCTTCATCGACGCCATCAAAGTGCAAATTCCACGTTCGCACTTTGCACCTGAGGGGAACGACACAGTAGTATCTGGACTGTCGGCTGCACGCCATACTGCAGACGCCATAACGCGGTATCTAACCGGCAACCCCTCGCCATCGGGTGAACCATACACGTCTGTCGCGTTCTTCGGCGGCATTCCGGATGTTGCTGTTGCGTTCAAGAGTATGGTTGGGGCGCCGCGCGATGCCGCGTTTGAGATTTCGAATGTAGGGCGGTTCGAGAGTGGGGAGGCTGGCAGGTGGCAAGTGGGTAGGATGGCGTTTAGTCGCAGTGCAGTGGCGTTTGGGGCGCCGCTCAATACAAGTGTGGTGTCTGGGGCGGATGGCGGGTTGACGATTGGGTTTTGCTGGCAGGAGGGGGTGCTGGAGGATGCGTTCGTGGAGGGGGTTGTGAAGGGTTTTGGAGGGTATTTTGAGTCTGAGGGGTTTTAGGGTGAAAGGTGTTGGGTTTGATTGGGGGTTGAGTATCTGTTACGAAGGATTGTGGAAAAGATTCGGTTTCCTTGGGTGCTGGTGTAGGTTACATGGTTGCTTATGTTCGAGGATGCTTCGAAGGCAGTAGCATTAAAGTGACTTGCAAAGTGGTGGCCGCAAGAATTTATAGCAATATTTCACTAGCCAGGATTTTAATTGTGGGAAAATGTATGCAGCAATCTTTTTGTTCCAGACCTTCTCGTCTCACTTTGGTAGGAGAGATACCCAAGAGCTAAGATTCCAAATATCTTCTTCTCCTTCTTGCCAACTCAAGAATATGCTACAAAACTGCCGTTTATTACTACTAGACAAAAACATAATTATAACCTCTTCCATGTTACAGCTAACATTCCAGTCCACATAGTTACTCGCACGCACACCAGACTACTCAACTGGTACCTCACTCTAATCACAAGAGTTAAATGTCACTATACATAGCTACCGTCAACCCAGACGCTAATCAGCAAACTGATTTAAGACTCTTCTAATACCTACTTCTCTTATCCTTGCCCGGTCATAATTACAGTACGCTACAATCAGTCCTTCTACAGCAAATACCATGACCTCACGCATCATACAGCCGTTTACTACAAGCTTCCAGAAAGGATCCGTGATGAAGATGATTCCTTACAATCTCTTACTGTACAACTCTGCTTCAACTCCCGCGATGAAAGTCCAGTGCGTAGAATGGTGATATTGGTACCAGGTTCGATGAATGTCTAACAAATCGTGGTGGGATAAGTTATCATGCTCGAAAAAGATCGAGGGGCTGTCGGGAGTGAGAGGGAAGATGATAGAAGGAAAGCAGTTGTCGGTGCAGAGGTGATTGGAGAAAGTGAGATGTCTGCGCTGAAGGGAAATTTCGGGTTGGGAGGAAGGACGGATTCGGTGCTGATACGACGAGAGAGAGGAGGAGGGGGTTAGTGGTGGGTTGCAAGTGGTTGGAAGTTGGTTGCAATGGTAGCATGAAAGGTTTGGATGAGAGATGTTGACATGAAGTAGTGGCATTTCCGCGATGTACATATAGACACATCATCGTATATTTGACTGAAGCAGAAGTATGTTAAAACCGCACTACAATCACACGACTCCACGTTTTATCGCCAATTGTTTTCAACCACAAGGTTTCAGTTTCAATCTACTTTGCTATTCTATCCAACATGACTGCCTTGGATAACGAATTATATGTATGAATTTCTCCAACGCGCAATACTCAAAGACAAAGAAGCCGTACACTCGTGAACATAAAAATAGGCTACCAGCACCCGCGATTCATACTACAAGACCTATATCGAAGGCATCTACCCAAACTCCTAATTCACTATTTCCCTCATCCCTCGTATCAACCCAAGTTATGTATAAAAGAAAGAAGAAGCTATCATACACATATACAATCCAAGAAAGAGAGAAAAAAGATCATAAGAAAGCAACACCCCTACTCCCCCCTCTTCCTCCTAATCCTAAACCCAATCTTCGTTTTGGGCTTCTGCGTCCCAAGCCCAAACGACGACGAATCCATCTCAAACCCCTTGTCCTTGACCTCGACGTCAAACTCACTCACCAGCAACGCACACGTATACAGAATGATCCTCTTGGCCAACAATCTCCCCGGACAAGCGCTGAACCCCCCACCATACGGTATCCACGCACCCGCGAGCCCCTTTGCGGAAAAGTGTTTTTCCTTTGTGGCAAGTTTAGCGCGGATGTCGCGGGCTTCGGGGGTAGCTGGGTCCATAGGACCCGAGGAAGGGTCGGCAGGGTCAAGCATGAAGCGGTCTGCCCAGAAAGAAGTGACAGGATGGCGTCCATCTTGCTCATTCCACAGCGAGGTATTCATGTGCGCAACGTACGAGCTTACCATGCTGACCTCATTGCGGGGCAGCGTCCAGTCGCCCACCGTCGCACATTCATGCGCAGAACAGCGCGTGATGTAGGACTGGACGTAGAGGCGCAGGGTCTCTGCGTAGACGGATTGCAACAGGTCTTTTTGGAGGAGCTTGTCCATGGAGGCGTCGAAGCCCGAGCTGGGGTTGTGAGAGACAGAGTCGGAGATGCTGGTGCGGATCCGCGAGAGGAGGTCCGCGTCGGAGAAGATGTGGAAGGCAGTTAGCATGGTCGAGGGCACGACGTTGGTGACGGACGTCCAGATGAGACCGAGGTCCGTGGAGGCGACGGCGGCGTCGTCTTGGCCCGAGATGCTGAGGAGCATGCTTTGGCGCTCGCGGTTCATGACGGAGCCCCAGTAGGGGTCCCATTGGGTGTCTTGGGCGGAGGTGTCGCGGAAGTGCTGGCGCGCGTAGTTGTACCAGTTTTGGATTTGGGCGAGGAGGCGCTCGCGGACACGGAAGGCACTGGGGATGAGGAAGCGGGGGAAGCGCTTGGCGAGGTTGACGACTTGCTCGTCGAATTCCCAGAGGTCTTGGATGAAGTTTGGGTTGATGGCGAGAAGGGAGGGTCCGAAGAGGGATTCGAGGACCGCTTTGCCGACAGTGTTGCGGAACAAGGCGAAGAGATCGGGTTGTTCGATCCATTCGTCGCCAATGTCTTCGGCGTCAAGGTTTCGTTTGAGGATGGTTTGAAAGCGTTCAAATGTTGGTAGCATCGAGTTGCTCGTCAGCCCGCGGAGCAGCGAGTCGTGGGTGAGAAAGTCGATGCGGTCGTGTGGCTCGACCTTGCTAAACGGATGAGGCTTACGATATGGCCCCGAATCATCAGCCGTGTAAGCCTCAATACCCCTTTCGTGCATGCCGAAAATGTAACGCAATCCCACAGTGTATACGTAGATGGGGCTGGAAAGGTTTGGGTTTTTCCACATGTCGGCAATGGCCTTGGGCTCGGAGACAAGATAGATGCCATTGATGAGCAGTGAAATACGGACAGAGGTCAGCTTGCCGGCGTATTTTCTACGCTTTGAGTCAGCTTTGTTCATGTGCAAGACGTTGATCAAGACTCACGTTGCCTTCGTCACAAAGGAAGCGCTGTCCCACAAGAACGAGAAAGTGCTTCCTATGATGGGCATTGCGGGGTACTCAGGTGGTGTTTGCCCCTGTTTCCTTCGCATATTTGCCCAATGGTACATTGACAGTGTGAACAAATAGTTGCAGAGAAAGGGAATGGCCAATATGCCGCCTGCGACTAGAATCTGCCGAAGACTGTTCGTCCATGAAGTCGGAGTCATGTCTAGGCCGGAAGTAGGAATGGCAGACTCATTCTGCTGAATGTAGCGATCTTGGAAAGGCTCATACATGGCTTCTTTCAAGCTGGGCCAGAATGAGAGGCTGGTCTGAGCCCCTTGAACGACTGCCATCGTGGGTGAATACAGATGACTGTAAGTTTGAACGCAAGGGTATACTGAAGTGTTACCAAACTTGCATGTATTCGCATGTCTCTTGCTCTAGTACCATGTTATATACACGCTACATAGCTATCCGCTGACTCTTTTCCATAGGCACCATCAGTCAGCACATCGACCACATCAACCACATCAACCGGCTATGGCAGTGCTTCGTGAGCGTCAAGCTAAAGGTGGCTTACGTTTGGACGCCTGATGGTATACGTATACTCGGCAAATACCACCAGCCTCACATGAGCGCCGGGGATCCCCGTTTAGGAGATTGGATAGCTCCGAAGCAGGGGTGTGGAGGCAACCACGAGAGAAAAGCTGGCCCGTCGTCGTTTTGGCCCCATCGCATCAGCGCTTAGAGCGCCGTCACCCTCCACGATACAACATGGCAGATAGAGTTTGTGCAAGCGTCCTTCTTTGTTGGGGCGTTGCGGCAGCTTGCTCCTCCCGCTGCCTAGGCGGGGTGCCGTACGCCGTGGCTTGTTCACCAATGTTCCGATCTTGTGTGGTAGTGATACGTACTATGAATCCCAATGTCAGCCTTGTGCACTGCACTGCCATTGCGACCCCCACAGATATGTTCTTTTTCCCTGGAATTGCGGCACAGTCTGCATGTATTGAGTGTGTCGCAGTCACAGGCAATAGTTCGTGCAGCTGTGTTTTTTTGGACCCCCGAAATGCTTCTATACATAAACCACGCCATGTACAAATCGGCTCAACGGCGGTGTTAAGACATGTGAACGTCCCACCTTATCGTAATTTGCCGGTTGCGGGCGCCGCCCGTGCCGTAATACGAGTGCATGGCATGCTAATATTGTGGGGTTTTCGGCAAGGATTCTAGAAAGCTGCCTAGTCTACCTGTACACTTCCTTGTTCCTGCACTCCCATTCGTGGAAGGTGTTGAATATTTTTGGCACATGATAACCAATCATATCTACAGATGGTTCATTGCACAGCAAAATCGGAGCTGAGGACATGGAGCTGTGGTACATGGTTCTTTGCAGGCTCTCAGAGTAACATCGTGGCAACCATCAATTCATTCAGTTACAGTACAAGTGGAGATACTGACATTGAGAAAAACAACTCTTTCATCTCAATCGCTATTGATGTCTCCAGGTAATTTCTAATCGCTGCTGAAATACAGAGAGACACCCAACCACTTGGGAAGGTGTGGGAGAGTAAGAATCTCAGCTTACACGTCCCTTATCACTACGACTGGCTCCTTGCTGGACGCGGATGAGTGCAGCCGAGCACTATCTTCTTCCTTGCCGTAAAGAGTAGACTCTGGCGAGTTTGCTTGGATTGACTGAATCTCTCCTTGGTCGTTGATAAATGTCCGAAGACCGGTCATTTGAGCCCTGGGAACGGACGGTAAGCCCAAAGGACCCTTTCCGGTCCCAGACTCAAGTGTATCATCCAGCAGTGTGTCTTTCCTCTTGCGATTGAACTTTGCAGCAAAAGATGCAGAGAAAAAGCGCTGAGCTTGCTCTTTGGGCGTTAACGCCTTGCTGTTTTTCCGTGATATGAAAAAGCTCCGGAAAGCAGTTGCTGCCGCGAGGAAGACACCGACCTGGGCGCTGACGACAGTCCAATACAACTCCCATATGGTATCAACCATATCGTTGTTGATCAGTCCGGCAAGACGAGCAACTGTGGTGGCCATCATGATAACAGTCAAGCAAAGCGAGGATGCCAAAGCAACCTTTTGCGTCCACTGTACTTTAATCTGCCAGATGATACAAATTGGTATGGCAAGGACTATTGGGTATTAGACATGTTTTTTTAGAATGCATGGGAAAAGAACTTACTCATAGCATCACCGACGAGGTCAAGGACCATTTGGGCAGTGGAGTGATGGACGAGAAGCTTTTTGAACCTGCCTGTAGCGCATTGGACTTGCTGGATGTCAGCATTGTAACGGTTGGAGGACCGGCTTACTTACGTTCTCTCGGGTCGAAATAATAAGGGCACCCGATGTACCAGATAGCAATGCCATAGCCAAGGCAGGCCACGTTGAAGAGGACTACCACCCACCAGTAGTAGTTGAGTACCGGCACCCGGTCAATCAATTTCTTGAAGAAAAACAAGAAGCTGAGCTTGACAGCGACCACAGCGGCCCACGATACCATACCACATACAGTGACCCATTTGTGGAAGTGGAATGATATCTGCATCCAGTCTGGAGGAGGTACAACTCCCGGAACGCCAGTCTGCAGAGCAACAATGAGATACATGCGATCCATAACTTCTGTGAACATGACGACAACGCTGCACAGAAGAAGGCTAAAAGCGAGGAGCAAGAAGCCATCATCGGCGGAGAATGATTGCTTCTGCACTCTGAAGCGAATGATGAAGCGTGTGGTGACTGCTACCACACATAGGGCAAGCATTACTGACTGGGATATCTAACAATCATGTTAACGCAGAACAATTGGATGCACAAACGCCATGCTCACGATTAGGGCCTCTCTGGGCACACGGCCTGCAGTGTCCTCGGGCCTCATGATGGTGTAAAGAAAAGGCGAAAAATGAGATGAGTAGGTATGGAGAGAGATGCCTTGTCAGCTTGCACGCTGACAAGACGAAGGAAAGACATGCTAATCCCTATATCATATCACCACGACTCGGATCTCGCAATGGAAGCACAGTGCCGAAGGTGCGTCGTCGACTCTGCACGTCTTACTGCTTAATCTGTTAGGGCTTACAGGAATAAATCAACCCTCTCCCCCCGCACATGGTTCAGCCTCGTCCAAGTGGTCAGTTAGTCCCCGACGTAACATCGCGGCGCCTCAGCCTCAGCACTGCCCGTGCTGCCTTCCGGTGTGCATGAACACAGAGTCTGTTCTTTTTTGGGGGCCAAGGCATATTATAGGTACGCGGATTTGTAACGAGCGGCTAAACGTGGGGCAGTGGGTGAATTGCCCCCATATTTTCGATAGCTTGCAAAGTGGGTGGGGGGGTTTGGGGGCCGCTTGCCATGTCGCCTGCCCTGCAGCCTGCCTTGCACGACAAACGATCCACAAGTACTACTACCCACGCCGCCTGCGCCTCATTAACCGAAATTGGCACCAAGACCACCAGCAACAGTAACAATAGCAACGACAATAACGACAATCCACCCAGCCTCGTCTCTCCTTTATCAGAAGACCTTCCGCGTCGCCCTCATCGAGAGGCTACCATACTATCGCCATGGCTTCCTTCTCGTACAGCAGCATCGCATGGCAGGTCGCCCTGCCGGCGGCCGTCGCTGCCATTGGCGTATTCACCTTCAAGATGATCAAGAACCGCATGATCTTCTATAGGCTCAAGAAGCAAGGTCTGGTACGCAGCTGTGATAGTCTCTCTGTGCGGTTCCTTGCTGACGCTCTCATCTTCTAGCCCATGCCTGCGTGGGACTTTGGGGCTGGCAGCCTTCAGACTCTTCCAGCTTTGCTCGAAAAGTTCCCCAAGGGCTCGCAGCAATCAGATGCCTTTACTCTTCTCTCCTACGAATTCAAGAAGTCGGATGGCTGCTTCTACATTGACCTTTGGCCTTTTTCGAGTCCGCTGATGGTAGTCACTTCTCCCGACCTTGCCATACAGGCTTGTCAAGAGTACGACCTTCCCAAGCCACCAATTCTCATTCCGTTTTTCGCCCCTTTTGCCGGCGGCCCAAATCTCTTCGATATGAATGGCGCCGAGTGGAAGCGTTCAAGAGCTCTCTTCAACCATGGATTCAGTGCCAACGTGATGCTCGAGAGTACGCCTCACATTATCGAAGAGGCCGAGGTATATGTGGCGCTGCTGCGTGAGCACGCGAAAAAGGGTGACACCTTTTCGCTAGACGATCTGACATGCGACTACATGATGGACGTGATTGGGTCGATTACAATGTAAGCACACATGAGATGTACCGTACTTTGGTGCAAGCGCTGACCATGTCAGCAATGCTCGTCTCCACTCTATGACTCGACACAACGCACTTGCTGCTGCCATGCGGAGCTCCATCCAATGGCATTGTCAAGACGAGGAGCTGAATCCTTTCAAACGCTGGAACCCAATGAGACCTATCACCGAGTGGCGCAACGGCAAGATCATGGACAGCTATGTCGGCAATGAGCTGGACAAGCGATATGAACAGTGGAAGTCCAATGAGCCGTCCAAGGGGGCCAAGTCTGTCATGGACCTTACCATAGCAGATTACATGGGCGAACGCAAAGGTGCCGATAAGCTTGACCCCGAATTTAAGAGATGGGCTACTACCCAGATTCGCCTCTTTCTATTTGCGGGACATGACTCTACGGCAGCTACCATTGTGTACAGTCTCTACATGATGTCCAAGCACCCTGAGGTTCTATCTAAAGTGCGCGAAGAACTAGACCAAGTCTTCGGCAAGGGTACCGACTCAGCTGCTCGAGTCCTCAAAGAACACCCGGAAGAAATCAACAAACTGACCTACACAACTGCAGTGATCAAAGAGACTCTGCGCCTCTACCCTCCTGCATCAGGCATGCGAGGCGGGCTTCCCGGTGTCTTCCTGCGTGACAAGAATGGCAACAAATATCCCACTGAAGGCATCAACATTTGGATTGTCCACGGCGCTGTGCAGCGAAACCCAAACTATTGGCCCGAACCTCACAAGTTCATTCCTGATCGTTGGCTAGTGGAACCCGGTCACCCATTGTATCCGCCAAAGGGTGGTTGGCGACCTTTTGAGTATGGTCCTCGTAACTGCATGGGCCAGACCCTCGCTATGCTCGACATCAAGATCACCTTGGCAATGACGGTGCGTGAGTTTGATGTGCATGATCAGTATGAGGAATGGGATCAGTTGCATCCGTCTTCTGGTATCAAGACTGTTTTTGGGGAGAGGGCGTACCAAGTGCCTCAAGGAGCAGCTCACCCAGTTCATGGTTTCCCATGCAAAGTCACGGCTAGGAATGTGGAATAGAATACGTCCGTGATGGAACCAAGGACAACAAGGTTTGACGGAGTTTTGATTCAAAAGGTATGAACACCGACAAGTATTAGATGGTGTCTATTCACGGCGCATGTGTGGTGTATCGGAGTATTAATAGTGTACGTATAAAAATTTAGTCTAGTCCATTGTATTGTATACGGTTTTGAAAATGCCATGTAGATCGAGCGTATGCTGCTCGGCTTTGTACCTCGGTCCGGCTAGTCCAATCTAGTAGACAACAAGCATTCAAGTCAATTTTAGAACTACGTAGGTGAAGTACCACATACACACATCAACAATACAACGTCGCATCCAAATAGCAATGTAAACAACATGCACCGGTAACTATGTCAAGACTTTCCGTATTCTCCCTTCTACCGACAATGCGCCCCAGGCTCTCCAAACCACGTAGCAACATTAAACGCCACTTCTCTACGACGCCTCGCATTTATACCATGGAAACCACAGGCTTCATCTCAACCCAACTTGAAGTCCCAGAAACCATCTCTGCCCTCTGTAACCCAATTCTCGTATAGCAACTAGCGGCATCACTCTATCAGAGAAGTACGAAGGTTCAGGCCCAGGAATCTCAGAAGCAAACAATGATGCTTCACACCCATTTGCCGAATCTGGCAGCAGGTATCGCAGGTGCGCAAGCCGCCCACGCAAACCTCTACGCCACACAGCCGTCAGCTAAATACGGGAACAAAAAAAGAACAAACTTTCCGATTACACTACATACCTAGAACTACCAAAGATGAACACTGCACATGCTTCAGCATCACCGAACCAAACCCTAGACTCAATACACCAAAAGCCTCCGGCACAACTGGCCAAAAAGCAAGGAGAGACGGAACATGATGTACCATCAACGGCTAGCGAAAAAAAAAAATCTGGATCATACGCGTCCAAAGCAATCCCACGTATGATGCTCCCCGCCCACACCGTCGCAGTCTCTGCCGCAAAAAAAAAAACAAGGCGCAGTGAATCCCTCAGCCTCTTCTACATCGACACCCCCAACCTCAGACCTCACCATGCAGCACATCAGGAAAATGAAGGCGGGGAGACAGAGCCATCAACGCAAACGAAGTCTTTCTTCGACAACTACCGCATCAGCAGCGACAGCCTTCGTCGGCGACATGGGCCAAGGCTTCAGCATAATTCTCTCAGGCACACAGGAGCAAGATGAGAGAGGTGCTTGAGGGAATGTTTTTGTGCCGAGAAGTGCGCCGGTGAATAGGGAGATGGTGTTGAATTAAATGGGGGGGGGGCGCCTTTGAAGTGCTAAAAACTCATATATTACCATTATCACAACGTGAATGGCGGAAATCGTGTCTAATCGTTTAACATCAAGAATTCAAACGTGAGGGAGGCTTGTTTATGGCGTACCAATACGACCCAAACCCGTTTGCGCCTATACACCAAATTTTTGCAATGACCAAAAAATGCCTGCTCATCAACGCTCATCTGCTGAAGTTTCTTCTACACGCTCTTGTATCAAGTCGACTTGCTTGACTGGATGTAGCAACACTGCTGGAAGACACATGCGGCCTTCGTGAGCCAGCTCGTATTCCTCGCCACCATCGTTATCGACCTTGTATCCCATCCAGCGCTTCCACAGGTTGGGTGCAAAGCCGGCGTGGTAGTACCATGTGGTGCCGAGGAAGTTGTGTTGCCTCTCGTCAGAGAAGACGGAAAGGCGGGCACCTCCTGATGCGCCGTTGCGACCATTGTTAAAAATAGCAGCTAGGTACTGCGTGGGCCATTTGCGATCAATGAAAACAGGATGAGGAGCGTACACGGCTTTGAGGCCATGATGAAGAGCGCACGACGCAGGCCACATCTCGCTGAACATGGTATGACGGAAGAGCGACTGTTCGCGGTGCATTGTTTCCAAAAGTCTTCTTGACAGGCGTCCAGAGGTGTTGATGGCTGTTCGTCGTGGTGGGCGGCCATTCTTGAGATCATAACCAGTAGTGTCATCGGCCAGGATCCAGTTGGTCTGGTCAGGGTCGAACAGGGGGTTGAATACGATAAGATCTGCAGGCTCGCCTACGCCCCACTCGTACTTGTCCTCGGCCATTGTAGTGTTCGGTTTTACAGCAGGGTCAATCTCGATTCCTGGGTAGTCATCTGGAAGCTCAGGACCCCAGATTGCTTTTTCAGGCTTGAGCGTCTCTCGGCCAGGGACATGGGGATTTGGTGGGAGATGCTTAGACCATCTGTTTGCCTGGCTATTGGTGCCATGTTCGGTCTGCACACGTACTGTATGCTTGAAGTCCTCCCAAGTTTCATGCACAGTAGGTACGTAAAAACGCCCGTTGCGTTCCCATAATCCTTTGCGGGGCTGGGCAGCTGTCCACTTGGAGACTTGTTCAAAAAGATGATAGTAGTGTCCAGTGTATCGCACGTCCATCTCCCAGTGCCAGAAGTAGTCGTATTCAGGGTGCTGGTGGGCAAAGTAAGTTACTGGCATAAAGGTAGATCGATAGGCGCCATGGACGGGCAGACCACGGTAGTTGGTCTCCTCAAGGCCTCCATAGATTAGGCCCATTTGACGTTCTGACCAGAGAGTGCCCATGCCGGCAAATTCGGCAGGCAAAGAGTTCTTGAGGACTTCTTCGTAGACCTTTTCGTCGGCCCAAATCTGCTTGTTGTCATCCTTGACATGGATCAAGAAATGAACCTCGTATTCGCCTCCCGAGGAAAGGCTTAGCTCAGAGATTAGAGCGCGGAGGTACATTAGATCCTCATCATCGTATTGGTAGTCCCACCATGTTCGGAGAAGGACTGCAGTGCGTGGAAGAAGGGCCTTGTGCGCCTTCTTTGGCTTCTCGCGGGTTGTGCTGTCAACAGGTGTTTTCTCTTCGGTCTCGGTGTCACGCTTCCGCATACTCTGGAAACCATGGGGACGAGGGGTGGGTTGCTTTTCGAAGCGGCCCTTGTTCTTTTCCAAGCACCGATTGACAGCATCAGCCCAGTTGACCTCGCGAAAGTCGACCTCGGCATCAGTCTTCCAAACATCTTCGATTCCTTCCCGGTCGCCCTCCATGCCAGCGCCAGTACCGCCTCGCCGTTTGCTGTAACCTAGGCCATATGGACCCAATCGACCAAAGCGCTCAAAGCAGACATCGTTTCTCAAGCCCAGTAGTTCATAGCTTCCAATAACATTGTCTGGCATGCCCTGGGGAACACCCTTGTATGCTCGCAGCCCCGGTACCTTGATAGTGTCGTTTGCATCAATATAACATGTCTCGACAGGCCCGTACTTGTCCACATAATTTGCGCCGCTGTATTCTGGAAAGGGGTCAAAAGGTATAGAATCGGCAATGTGTGCACCTTCTGATCTCCGCTCTTTTGCTCCGTCCTTGGGCTCCGCAGGCGGCATCTCAGGGTCAATATCCTGCTTGGTGGGGTATTCGGGGACATTCTTTTCCCGGCTGACTAGCGACCGGATTCCACCGTGGTATCTCTTCAGGAACGGGAAGCTCTCCCATACGTTTGGCGGTGGGGGAGGCTTATGCAGACCGAGCTCGGCGTTTCTTATCGATTGCCAACTGCTGCTAAACAGGAACCACATGAACAAGAGCAGTGTGGATGCTATTGCCAGGCCGAAGTATCGTGTACAAGCCCGGGGGTTTCTGTAGCTGTATGCGCTTACGGTAGGTCTCGATGGTGCTCTTCGGTGGGATTTGGGGGTTCGTCGGAGTGGCCGCGACTCGATGTTATTTGGGTTTTGGTCGTATGCGCCTGAAGAGTGCCGCGAAGAAGACGGACTCGATGAGTCGGAAGACATGTAGGCTTCGTAGTCGTCGCTGTCGTGGCCCTTTTCATCATATCCGCCGTCTTCAACATCGCGCTCGGCGGAGGGTGCCTGGTTGTATGACTGTGCTTTCCTCTTGCCCACCGATAGGGGCCGGAAGCCGAGCATTTTTCGTAAACACTGACGGAGGTGCGACTATAGCATGTGCGGTGTGCGGGCTATTTGCGGATGCGATTGCGTTGCGGGTTGACTCTGAAAATGTTGCTGAGGTACGTACGGCGCTTGCAGTTTCGTCACCTCTGCAGCAGCCAGGAACGTCGTGAAAAAAAAGCCTCAAGCCGTTAAAAAGAAATCGTAATGTTCGTAGCAATGCGTTGAATTGGAACGCAAAATGTCGGTACACGGTGACGAAGCCCCAGGCCAGGGTACGTACACGTCGGCGGGCGGAAAGATTGCCGCCACACTAAACAACTGGGCGTTGGCGCAACAACCACATCCATGTCCTGACCTATCCGCCACCCTAGCAGACAATCGACGCCACTTGACCAACGCATCTCCCGAGCGTCTCTGTACCTGTTCAGTGAAGGTAAAATTCTTCTATAGTTGTGTTTTTCCGATACCAAGAGTTGCTGTTGCGGAGCTTTGCCAACAGGACAAGCCAATCAATTGTGCAGCCCCAGTAATCCGCTTGTGTAAACCTATATTGTAATGAAGACATGAATATTATGGATACCTGTCTTCTATGTATACGCATGACGGCTACTGATCTGAGTAGGTAGGCTGGGTGCAAGTTGTTTATGATGACTTGACCAAGTATTTGGGGTTGGTTTTGACGGGGCATGCTCCGTCTTCCATTTCTGCAGTCTTCCATCGTCACAAATATTGACCGAAACCATATCATCTCAATCCCTGCAAGGCTTATTCTGAACCATCGTGAGATTGGGTTTGAAACGCTGACAATCGGTTCGATGTGGGGCCTTCCGCCGAACGATTCCCCTGTACATTCTGTATTTTATTTTCACTTCAGGGCAGCAGGCTCCTTTTCTCCTTCATGCGTGTTCTTGAGGTTTTTCTACTTCGAATTTCACCATGAAAATGTCTATTCATTGGCATTGTCCTCTTCGATTGCATCGTTGGTGTAAGAGGCCAACTGCTCAAAGCATGAGTTCCTCGAAATCAAAGCAGCACACATAAGCATCGGAAATAAATTTCTCTTTCAGATACATATTATCAGCTCTCCTCACTGACAGAGACAATTGTTCCCAACAAGATATCTTCATGTCAAACATCCTAGACTTGCAGTTCAGAATCTAGAACGCACCTCGTCATTTCATCTAGAGGTTGTTATCCGCCAACCGGCTCTTCTTCATCGATAGAAGCGAAAGCTCTGATCATACGATCAATGCTCCTATGGATCAATGCTCCTATGTAATATAGAATTCGATAATTTCCCAGCACTCTTCAACTGAATCGAGTGGTCACCGCACAAATGCCGCAGCAGTGGACCAAAGCCATCAGCACGGACACACTAGATCCGAACCTGCAGATGTCTCTCTTGTCAGATATTACGCAGAATTGCCACCGGGCGTTATCTGTTCACTCGACACGGTAAGTAAGCAGAAGGTGTACAAGCTCAAGATATGGAAACAGGAAGCGCCTCGATCTACAGGAAACATCTAATCCATTTGCATATGAATTTCTTCATCTGTCTAGTCGGTACAAGGCGTGCAGTCAGTCTCGAAGAGGCAGAGGGGCAGTAGAGTGGTATCCAAGAGACGAACCTCAGGCAGTTACTCAGTTTATGTAGCAATAGCAGCTTTAGTATGTATATCAAACTTGAATCAACCGCGCGAAACGCATCCTCGCATCACCACGCCCAATCGCCTAACCGGCACTCTCACAATCTTTTCACTCCCCAATCAGAAGAAAAAGCCATAGGATTCCTATCTACCCTACTATTAAACAGTAGAATACTCCCATCCCCAAACTAACTTCAATCAATAACTCACAACCATTTCCTCCGCACTCGCAGATCCCAATATATCCTTCCATCCACCAGGGCACTTCCCTCTCTTAATATACCCACGGAAAAAATACATTCCTCCAATATACACCCTCCATGTTTCTCCCACTTACTACACAAGATAACGTTATTCTATCGCAATATAACCACTAAAAAGGGCCCCACCCGTCCGCCTGGTGGCCGAAAAGATGTGACTCGCGCGCAACAATGCCTATTCTATTTCTACCGGCGAAGCCAAGGGTGGGAATGCTTGGAACGAGCTAACAGCTGCAGGAAATTAAAAGCTGACCGAGAAAAAACACCTGATGTTGCTAAATTGTGGGTTGTTTTTGGAAAAGCGTGGATAGAGTGGTTCGGTTGTTGCATTCAAGGTTGCAGGGATGAACGGTGTTGTGTAAGTAAGAAAAGTAATCGGGGAGGGGCATGTTTCAGAATGTACTGGGTCAAGTATTACAACTGGAAGGGGGGGGGGGGGGGGTTCCATGTAATCAAGATCGGTAAGTTAGTTAAATATAGCTTGGCGTTGGGAAAATACTAGGATAGAAGCTAAGAATGCAAATCGAAGAAAAATAGGCTATGGAAATGGCGCGATTTATGCAACATGTGTGGTTTTAGCTATTGTGGCAGCAGAGAGAGTGCCGATGGAATTACGACTTTTGCCGGTTATGTCCCCACCTAACCCCTATTCAGATTTCGGCACGGCCAGCCTGTGCTGCAAGGTACCCGTGTATGTTTGTTTCAAGTAAATGATCGAAAAGAACAGTGGCTATGGAATCACCAAGTGAAACACTCAAGCAAGACTCGGATTTTTTGATCAGCAATATAATGTATGTATTTACCAATCGCCTAAAGCGATTGTTTAAAGAAAGATATTTACAGAAGAATAAATCTATGGCAGTACTTCTCAGCCGCTTTCGCCACGTCTCCACACATCCACAACTACTAGTTCAAGGGGGGTGAAATGAACAATTTAGATCCTTCCGTAACCAGCGGTGTTGACAACGTTCTTAGCGTTGGCACCAGACACGGCAGCAGCAATGTTCTTTCCAGAGAAGCCAGCAATGACGCTGGTGTCAGAGCCAGCCATGGCAGCGGAAGAACTGTAAACGTTGGGCTCGCAGTTGCGGCCAAGACCGCTCTTGCAAGCGGCACCACCGGAAGCAAAGACCTTGCCGGCAAGACCAGCCTGAGACGAGGCCACGACGTTCTGGAAAGCATTGCCCTCAGCGACGATCTTGGCACCAGCGTCGGCCTCGAAAGCGTGACCGGAGTTGGCGTAGAAGTAGTTGCCGACGGCGTGGAGAAGGGTGTTGCCAGCGACCTTTGGCGAGCGGCCAGAGGTGTGGTGGATGTAGTTGCCCTTGAGGGTGACCATGTCGTTGCTGCCGGTGAGGTAGATTCCCCAGTAGTGGTGGCCATCGCAGGTGGCGGACCAGGCGGTGGCGCCGTTGATCTCGTTGTTGGAGATGGTAACACGGCCGGAAGGACTCTCACCAAGGACAATGTGCTGGCGGGCAATCAGGTCGGTGGTACAGTGGTCGATCCAGATCATGTCGCCTGTAATTATCGTTTATTAGATACTGGGTAAGATTCTGAATCAAGATTGCAACTTACCACCGTCGACGGTGATGGCATCACCACCCCACACGTACTCAGGGTTAATATTGGTGAAACGGACATTCTGGATGATGATGTTCTTGACGCCGTTGGCCATGCGAATACCCTTTCCTTTGATGATACCCTTGTTGCCCTGGCCGATAAGAGACTTGTTGGAGCCAACAGTGATACCAATAACACCAGCCTTGTCGTAGGTGATGCTGGCAACCTTGGGTGCATTCTTCTGGTAGTTGTCGCACCAGTTGTCCTTGTTGATGGCAATCTGGCATCCGGAACCAGTACCCCAGGGACGGCAACCAGCAGAGGTGGCCTTGCCCTCACTGCCAGTGAAGTCGAAGGTCTTGGTGAGGACAATGGTGCGAGCCTGTCCATCACCGAGGTAGCTAACCAGCTCAGCGTTGGTCGTGGGGTAGACAGGGGCGGCGCTGCCACCACCAGTTACACCTGTTCACGTATAAGTTTACATCCTGGAAACAACACAAAAGCTAACGAACCCTTGGCGAAACCCTCAGCAGCACCCTTAACGCCATCAGCAGCGCTGACGGTGGTAGCGAGAGCTGCCGCAATGGCGGCAAAGAAAGAGTACTTCATAGTTCAATTCTTGTTGATGCAAAAAACTAGAGAGAGTGGATAGCAAACACAGTTTGCTTGGAAAAAAAAGAATGTGTAGTTGAAAAAAGTAGAGAGAGAGAGTGAAAGACAATGCTGTTGTAATGGTTTTCCATAGCAGCAGACCAAGTCCCGTCTTTATAATAGACGGGATTCGGAGGAGGCTGTTTCGAAGCAAGCCCCACAGGCCAATCTGAGAAACATTCCCTTGGAGCGAATAATGGGTCCTGAGGACCCGTTCATCACCGCGTAGGGGTACGCATCAAAGCCATGAGTCGCGCTCTGCACTTCGGAGGAATATTCTACCAGTATTCTGGAGTAAAGGATACATGATTTGATTGGGAGGATCCATGCAGGCAAGCGCGCCGTGAACAGAGCAAGATTGAGGAGTAGCAGACATTGGGACTGCCGCGAAACGGATGCAGACAGGCGTTGGGTATGTTAGTGCATCCGTGGCTTGGCACGGGACAGCATTGGGAGGCGAGCGGATGTTGGTGTTTCATGTCAGCATGATGCGGCTGGTGTTGACCCCACATGGCCATTCCTGGTCGAGTCTAGCTAGGAACAGGTATATTAGCCCTATCAAGGCTGAGGTGACGAGGCTGATCAGTTCAGGACGCAAGGTTCCTTGAAGCACGCAAGGTGCGGGTTTATTTGGAACCGTTTCCTTCTGATAGGTGGAATGATCAAACATGACGCCATATGCGACGTGAAACAGCATTGATCAGTGGAAGGCAATGTGTTGAGATAGATGCACCGAGTATATTTGACGATACGCAAAGGGCGAGGCTTCCCTCGAATTGAACTTGATGAATATAGTGCTGGCTTGTGTCGTCTGTCCACTCGATAGTGCTCTGGTCGCTAGTGCTGGCTGGCAGGAGAAGGTCAGTCAGTCGTGTATAGATTCATTGGAGAGCAAAAAGGTCCGATTCTCGTATGTACTGACTACTTGATGTCGAATGTCGTGCAAGATGGCCTTGGCGATGCAGCAGGTGGTAGATTGCCAAGAAGGGAGGGAGAAGGAGGTTGTTCCAATAGAGAGCCGCCTGGACGCGGAAGGCGGGACTAGCGCTACCCTTGGGATGAGCGCTGACCACGTGTCGGCAAAGGCCCTGTCGGTTGCCAAACAACACAACCGACCGGGTCCGACCAACCCTGAACCCAGCACCATCTCCACGCCGGTCCTTATCCACCCACCTAGCTGAACGTCATTGTCGCTGCAACTGTGCAACCAGCGTGCAGCTCACACGCATCCTGGATGGCCCACCGAAGACATGCCAGCAGCCAGCATCATGGTAGAACGCAGGCCAAGCAGTACAACGCACCACACCGCTACCCCGGCCAATCATCTCGACCCCTCCAACGCCCTGCTGCATCTTGGTCGTCAGACTACATCTCCGAGCCAGTCCACTCCGACGCGGACGACTACATCAACTCGCACGATCCAGATCCAGCCCCAAGTCCTGCACGGTATCATGAAAGGCCCTCTCCGATGAGTTCACCGTACAGCCCCCGGGAACGAGGGACTAATAATAAGCCATCATATTACACAACCCCCCCGCGTCGCCGGCAACAATGGCCCGCGCGGTACCAGACCCCATCCCCTAGTTCCGATTATATTGCACAGTCCGCCCGGACAGAAGACGATTATATTGCTACGCCGGCGAGTCGTATGCCGGGCGCCTTTGTTGACGACGACGACGACGTAACACCAGAGTACAACAGTGGATACACGCAATATCGACCCGACGATAGCTCACCGCTCCAACGCTCTGCCCCTAAATCCTATGACCGAGAGAAGCCACCGCCTCGATGCCGTGCTGCTCCCAAAGACTACGGCCATGATCCACCGCGGCACCATCGTCATCGTGACTCCGACCTGACCAGCAGCAACTGGGACCGCAAGCACGACACGGCGCGGACCCGGAGCCGCAGTCGTAGCCGCAGCCGCGTCAAGCACCTCCAACCACATGAACTCGAAAATTTCCACGAAGCAAGGCAATTTCTCGAGCGCTTCCGTGCCCTCAGCATTAAGCACACTGCCCGCCCCATCGGCGCCTACTCAAGCGACGAGGAGCGCGACGATGCCCGGAGCCTGCGATCACGCCACAGCAGTGTATCCAGGGAACGCCCTGCAACATACATTTCCTCGTGTCGAAACAGCAGCAACGCAAAGAGCAAGCGCATCGAGGCCGCTAACGACGCAGCCGTAGCTTGGTACCGCAGCTCCCACCGCTACAAGGACGACGCATATGCTTCATCTCCTGAACGCACCACGGGCTTCAGCCAACCCCCCCGCCAAAGCAGACTCGACCGCTACGAGCGACGCCCAAGCTACAAGCTGCTTACCCGAGATGCTGCCGCACAGGACTCTGATACAGATTCTCTAGGTCGCGACCCATCGACCACGCGCTCCTATCTTTCTCGCCCCCCATCCACAACCCCTTCCTACATGTCCCGTTCTCGCTCGCGCTCTCGTGCCCCATCCACCGCCCCTTCATACGTTTCCCCCTCCCCCTCCCCTTCTCGACCCCGTTCCCCGCCTTCCTTCAGCCGTGCAGTGACTACTACGCACCGCCGTTCGTCGTACAGCTCCGACAACGGCATCGGTGAGGGAAGCGATTACCTTCCCAGCGACGACTCCGAAGAAGAACATGCGAGACGCCATTTTTCAGACGACGACAGGTACGAGCGCAGAGGGGCGTATAGTGATGATAATGGCGTGGGCGAGGGGAGCGATTATGTTTCTAGTGATGATGATCATCATCATGTCGATGATAGGAGGGGGGGTAGGTATGCGAGGGGCAAGATGTATAGTGCACGTGAGCGCGTGAGGGAAGAAGATGAGGATGAAGAAGAGCATAGTTATAGTAAAGGGTGGGGTGTTGGGAACAGGGGCGAGACGACGGGAGGCAGACGGTATTGGGAGGGAGGAGTGGGGATATAGATGATGATGCCCTTTTTTTTGAGCTTTTCTTTTTCATTATGTTTTGCAATTGGACTTCTTGGGGCTTTTGGCGATGAATACCATGATTAATGACACTTTTTTCCTTGAGCCATGGCGGAGTGACAACTCACTTGATGATTGTTTTTCATTCCCTTCTCTTGTTTAGTCCTATGATATCATGTACACTTTTTCTACACTCAATTCTATTCCACAACATATGCACGCTGATATGGCGCCAGACAGATGCATTTTCCAACGCCTCAATCGTATAATATGATACAATACTTTCCTTTCATCCCACATACTCGTTCATCTAAGCGGTAGTAGTAGTCGCCTCAGCAGCAGCAGCATCAGCATCAGCCGCCACCAGTACCTCCTGAGGCTTAAGTTCAGCCGTGCTCATGGGACCCGCTGGCCATGGTTTACCCAGCGCATCTTGAACACGGATGATTTGGTTCTTAGGACCAGGTACACAACCTATATCATTATCAGTCAGTCAGTCAGTCAATCAATCCAGCCATCTCTCCCGACATCCGCCCCCCCAAAAAGAACATATAAGAAAGAAAGGAGGGGATATCAACATACCAGTAACAACAACGAGCCCATTTCCCTCATCCACCTGCAAAACCCTCAAATTCTTCACCGTAACACTCTCATTCCCCATATTCCCCGGCATACGCTTGCCAGGCAACACACGGGAACCCGAGCCCTGGGATCCACCCGCAGAACCCATACCACGATGCATAAGCGACTGACCATGGGAGGCGGGTTGACCGCCAAAGCCATGTCGTTTCATACCCTAAATATTTCGCCCCCGATTGTTAGCCTCTTTTCACTCTTCATCTCGGCCCACCCACTACACCTCTCTCTCTGTCTCTCTCTCTACCCTCCAAAGGAAACATTAAGGAAGAAAGAAGAAGAAGAAGAAGAAGAAAGAAAAAAAAAACTTACACCCGCAAACCCCATCCCCCTCCCCACGCCCCTAACATCCACCCACTGCCCCTCACGAAACCAACCCGCACCCACACTCTCCCCAACACCCACCTGCAACCCCTCCTCCCCTTTGACTCGAAACTCAGCCACCCACCGCTTGGGCGCCACGCCCGCGCCCGCAAAATGGCCCAGCATCGGCCTCGTCACGTTGCGGGCCTCCTTTTGGCCCGCCCCGATTTGCACGGCCCAGTAGCCGTGCTGGTCGCGTCGCTTGTGCGCGACCACTTGGTTGCGGTCGAATTGGAGGACGGTGCAGGCGGTGCGTTTGCCCGTTTCCGCGTCGTACAGAGACGTCATGCCCTTTTTTATCGCGAGCAGACCCGTGCGGAGCGGTGTGCTGTGCGCTTTGCGCTCCAGGGCCGCCGTAGAGCTGCTGCCTAAGGCCGGTTTCGAGGGGTGGTGCGCGAACCGGTCGGGGTGGGGGGTGAAGGTGGATTTGATGGTGCGGATCGAGGTGTAGCTGAGCGAGGTTGTTGGCGTCGTTTGCTGCTGGAGGAGGACACATCGCGCTGACGTCGAGGGAATGAGGAATTGAGGGGGTGGGAGCCCCCAATTTAGAGGTATCTTGGGTGGCATTGTTGTTGTTGGTGGTGGTGGTGGTGGTGGCACTCCGATTGATGATGTTTCTCGCCGCGGGCGTTTTGCAAACCCGCGCGGGCCCTCTCTCTCTCTCTCTCAGAATTGGGCGCACGGATCATGTTACGCACGTGAAGCAAGCGTTCAGCCTCCCGACATACGCTAAACCAGTACATTCCGTCTTTGTAGCCTAGTGTCTGGTACGAGTCATGCATGGCCATACTTACACGTCTATTTAGAGCAGTTTAGGAGACAAGTATATTTTTGGTGCTTTTTTTTCGAGCAATGCCCTGTCCAGCAGGCTTGGTACCAAGATACAATACGAGACGTCACAAGTCAGATACCGCCCGTTGCCCTACATACACTATGTACCATCGACTCACCTCATATCCCAAAACCCACAAAAAAAACACAAGAACGCGTAGCAATGGGTATCCTCCGGTTTGTGAAACGCCAAAAACTCCAGGCACCCCCACGTGGTGGTGCGTAATGTGACATTCAAGTCATTCGTGAAATGTGCCGAAAGCGTTTAGCGTCTTTACAATACGACGTCGGTTGTCTGACAAGCAGCCGAGTAGCTCGGATACGTTTCTTTGATTAATCAAAGTCAATTAGGAAGTATATTAGCAGGGTTACCCTGAGCCACGCAGTTGGGGGGCAGCGTCTGTCAAAAAGTCAGTGTCTGTACTACAAATCATCGTGGGCTGTAACATACGTGAGAGACTACCGAGCCTGGGCGCACAATTGTGTTTTCACCAATCTTGACCCCTGCCTCGATTACGCAGTTGTCGCCAATGTAGACATTTTCGCCAATATGCACCTCCTGTGCAATCTCTGTTCCGTTGCTGCCCTTGAGCGACTTGTTGTCAGTCGGCGTCTTGAGCGTCTGTATTGTGACCCTGGCGCCTATCTTGGTATTTCTGCCAATGCAGATCCTCGCAGAGTCGTGAAGGTGACAATCGGAACCAATGACAACATTCTCGGCAATGTTCAGGTGATATCCGTAATCACAGGTAAACGGCGCGGCAACAAAGACGTTGCTGCCCAAGTGGCTAATGACATCGTTGGCATCTTTCCGGGGTGGAATCCATCTAGCTGCCAGGATAGTCTTGAAGAGACCCTCCCTTGTCTGCTTTGAGAATTGGTTCGAGGCGTAGGCTGTGTTGTTGAAGTTTTGCTGAGCTCCCATACATTGGTGGCGTTCATCCATTAGGATCCTATCAAAAGGAAGGAAGGGTTCCCCTGCGAGCATCTTGTCTTTTTCGGATTTGTACAGCATCGACGAAGCTGGTGGAAAGCGTACTGGTGACTGTGCAGGAGGTATATTAGTGGACAATGGCGGGGGAGGACGAGAATGCTGATGGGCCACATGATGTTGCTGCGGCGGTTGTACGACAGCTTTGGAAGCCCTAGATGTTTGTCAGCAAACATTTTCAAAAGCATTCTGATGTTTTTTTTGGGAGCATGTTGAAAATAACAATCAGGTTGTGCAAGCGTTCCAACAAACAATCTAATCGCAGGTCTGGAGAGTGATGAACACTTACAGGACAGGTGCAGGCGTTGGTGCAGGTGCAGGACTGCTGGTAGGGATATGGCTCATGCTGTGAGGAGTGTGGTGGTAGACACGAGAGCTGTGTTGATGAAGTGGCTGTTGTAGTGGAGGTGGTGGTGGTGGTTGGTTTTCGTGACTTAGGTGTCTCTCATGCTGGCTTGGTGGAGGCTGTCCATACTGTACAGGAGCTGACGGAGGACCCTCTGGTGGGTAAGGGGCTCGAACTGGAGGCGGCGGTGGTGGCGTCGGCTCTGGCCAGTTGTTCCATGGTTTGCGGTCCTGGCCGTTTGCTGAGCGAATATCTGGTGGTGGGTAAGCGGCTTCAGTAGAGTGAGGCGCGCAATGTGGGATGTGAGGTCGACTGCAACCTGGACAAGTTGGTATGGCGGATAGCCTCTCCTTTGCTTGCAGAGCAGGCGGGGCTTTTGCGGGCCCATTCTTTGTCCATGGCACCTTATTGGCATAGCCCTCACAGACAAAGCCACCTCGAGTGCAGTTGTTGCCTGTTGAGTAAGGTTAGATTGATGTCGGGGGGGGAGTTGGTAGAATGGTTGAGACTAACACTCTGGTTTTGCTTCATCGCACTTCTTCTTTCGCCTCCTGCAGGTGCCACAGCCTGTTTTGGTGCGATTGGCAAATTGCTACAGACGGTCAATCAGCTGGTGCCTAAGGGAATGGGGGCTAAAACGCTTACCCTTTTTCGCTTCTTCAGCTCGACTTGAACACCAGCGCGGGTGACTTCAGTGGCGCTCGTGTCATCGAGCTCAGCTTCGCCAGCGCTGCCCATGCGAGCATGCGAGTCTGACGAGATGCTGGGGCGGACGGGCTCAACAGGACGTGGATCCCGGTGGTCAAAGTGTTGGTGGCCGGTGTGAGGCAGCTCACGGGGCTCTGTCTGCCAGCGTCGCTCGGCATCGGGACGACCCAGTGGCGGAAGACTTTGCTGCGGGGGTGCATCCATGGTGGTGAGCGTCTCACGGCTCATGGGGTGGAAAGGATGTGGCAGTTGGCGTGAACCGGCGACTAAGTCGCCCGGACTCCGGCGAGCGATATTGTCTTCTTCCGAGGCAGAGCACCTGCGTTTGTTGACGCTTTCGGGAGACCTGTCTCTGCTGCTGACGGTGGAGGGGCTGGTGTCACTTCTGGGAGAGTGGTAGCTGGTCTCTTGGCCCCGCGAGGCCGGACTCCAGGTGGAAGATTTGGCAACAATTGGTGGTTTCTGTTCGTCGGTGGGGCTCACGGACGAGGGACCATTGACCGATGTAAAGGCAGGCCCATGGGGAGCGGTGTTAAAGGCAGGCATATGCAGCACGGTCGACATGTCCGAGGCGCAATATCAAATTTGGCCGAAGGGACTTGATCAAGTTTCGAGACGGTGGGAAAAAAACGACTACTGTGATGGCGAGGCAGAGAGGCGAGGCACCATGGCACGGCCGCTGTGCGGGCGCAGGCAGTGTGTATTGTGGTGCACAATGCAAGCGCGTGGTGGGATGGACAATGGGAAGGAGAGATGGTTCTTTTGGTCGTTACTGGCCAGTTGGCGGGATGGGGGGTAGTCGCGAGAGAGAGAGAGAGAGTTGAGCAGGCGATGGCGGTGGATGGATGGATGGATGGATGGATGGATGGATGGGGGTGGTGGCGGGACGTGCCCGTGATAGTGGCAGATGTGATGGCGGGGAGGGGGGTTGTCAAGTAGTGGCAGTTGAGCGGGAGCAGTAGTGATGATGATGGTCCAGAGGGCGGGAGGGATGTGGCAGGTTTGGATGGAGGAGCGGCTCCTTGGATGGAGCTAGCTAGCAGAGCCACGGGAGCTGGTGCGCCTTTTCCATGGCGGGCCCAAGAGTGAGTAAGTATAAGGCGCTGGCGCTGGGCGGATGTGGGAGGGCTGCTGCCAGCGGATGAGCAACAGGCCTAGCAGCAGCAGACAGGCAGGCTTGCAGGCTTGCAGGCTTGCACTTGCAACAGAGGGCGGCTGTTCGCTCCCTGTGCTGGTGGCCCGGCCAGGGTGGAAGGCGCCCCCCCCCCCGGTCGGGCCCTTGCCATTGGCCCGACGTGCAGACGCCCCTGCTCCCCGCGTTTATCTGCCCACCCGGGCGGCGAGGAAGGGGCAGCGAGAAGCGCACAGAGGGCCCCGAGACGCGGTTTTCACGATATCTGGGGAATATAGACCCTGCATTGTGGCCTCTACCACGTTTTTTTCGCGGAAAAGTCGCGTCTACAGCCCTACAGCCGTTTGGTGGGTGTAGAGGAGGGTAGAGCTGGTGGAGAGGCCGCAAGGGTGGCACAGATGGATCATCGACCAAAGCGGCTAGGCGCCGGCCGGGGCCCACAGCGCCGCCCAGGCAGCTTGTGATTGGCGTGGGTGGGTGGGGCGGGCTCAAACGCGCGACAATACCGCATAGCCGCGGCCAACGCCCGCAAGACGGGCCATGTGTATGGGTGTGTGCATGGGGCCGGGCGTGTGCATGTAAGTATGTACGTACTATGTATGTGTCCAAGTATGTCAGTACACGACATTGGCTCTCGGGCGCGTTGGCTGCGGCCTGTTGGCTGCGGGCTGTGGGCTGTTGGCCGAGGGGCCTGCTGCTGTCCTGCCTGCCTGCCCGCCGCCGCCGCCACCACCACCGGCCAACGCCCTGCCTGCCCGGCTGCCCGCCTGCCCGCCTGCAAATCACCAGGCCCGGCTGCGTCGTCATCAGATCGGTGCCTGCGTATCGCCCAGCATCCCGCGCGCTTCCATCACGGCATGGCACACATGGCACAGCACAGCCTCCTGCTAACCGCCTGGCCCGAGCCAGCCCAAAGAGCCCAGCACCAAACAAGAAGGCGCCCAATGGGTCTCGCCGCGTTTCATTTATGAGCTCTACGCCCTCGTCCGCCATGGCCGTCCACTCTGCGCCATGTGTGCTACCACGACGCTCCGTCTCGTGTGCGTGTGCCCGTGTGCCTCGTACGAAACCCGTCTCCATACATAGCGCCGCTGCCATTCCCGCCCTACGCTGCATGGTTGGCTGTCCGGCCCGGCTCGCGCTAGGTGTATACGTACTTGTTTCCACTGTCGCTCTCGCTCACCCGCGGGCGCCTCTTGCTGCAGACGCTTTCTGCCCTCCAGGAACCCGCGCGCCAGACGGGAAGAAACGGTCGGAGCAGACATGGCCCAGGGCGCAAGAGGCCTGTTCTTGCCTCGGCTAGGCTGCGCCATGCCACTTGGGGGTGCACACATGGTATGCTGAGCGAATGCGGCGTCGGGCCAATCACAGGCCAGCGCGCGCGCCGCCTCGCCATGCCGTGGCTAGCCAAAAGCCTCGTCGTTAAGCGCGGCCGTTTGTCGGGCACGTCGCCGTGTCTCGAGAGCCATCTGGCAACATGTCCATCACCGTGAACGTGCCTGTACACATGCATCGTCTCCCCATTGCCACTGAGCATGCCCGGCACTGCACGGCACTGCACTGCATCAAACAAAAACCCACCACTCCGTCGCCGTGGTTCTCGCGGCGCGTTCCGTTCCCGCTAGCGATCAGACAAACAACGGGGACTACGCCGCACGGCATCGTGTCCTTTGCTGTGCAGCTTGGATTCCAATGCGCCGGATTCCCAAACAGGCTCGCCCCTTGCCTTGGATGCTCAGTCAGCCATGTCGTCCTGCTCTCTCCATCCGTCTCATCCTTCCGCTCTGCCGTCTGACTCGAGTAGCGAACGGAAGCGCGGAACCCACACGCGCTTGTCGCCAACGTCCTCGTCCGCCGCCCTACGCCGCCCTACGCCGCCACATGCCGTCCCAGCCAGACCCGACCCCCCAATCGCTTATGGAGCATCTTCTTCCGTGTCCAAGATGATGCATCCACCTGCACCCTTCCAGACCTGTCATGCGGCACACGTCCGGCATACTTACATGCATATCCATCCAAGTACACACTTGCTTTAAACACAAAGGTTCGCCCTGCAACTCTCTTCGGCCCGCTTCGAACCTCCTTCGGCGCCAAAAAAGAAGCTCTGGCCAACAGCTCCCACTACCCCCGTGAGCCGACTTTTCTCCCACAAGCCGCCGCTGCCCACCACCAAGATTACGAGCAGGTTTGCACATCTGCCGTCACCGATAATCACTCTGTAGGATTCGCCCTCGGCAAAATCTTGCGGCATTATCCAGACATGGTCCACATGCCGTGCAGCATGCTATACTGGATTCGACCACTGCCCAACATCACACGCTCTCACGTCCAGACACGACAAACCCATTGCCCAGAAATGTCAAGATGACATGTGTACAACTCTTACATCTCACTTACATGCTTCTGCCCAATGCTCCCCTGGTCCGCACTGCACACCATACTCAGACGAGATGACAGTCATTGCTGTGGCAAAAAAACTCAAATCCTTTGAACTTTCTCTGGCGGTGTAGGAAGCATTACCTCTTGTTGACATGACAAGTTATACCAAGAGCATGTTAGTAGATTTGTATCCATTAATAAGGTTCAAAAACAAAATCCAGTTTCATGGTTGTGGTGGAAGAATTGGCAAGTATAACTGCGCCGACACGCAATGAGATACTGCAAAGTAGTGTACATGGTAAAGTGAGGTGCATATGCATAAGGCCGAAGTATGCCCTTGGCTTCTTACCCTGTTGAAACTATACAGAAGTGGGTCCTCTTCCAAACGGACAGTACGTACACGGCGTTGTCGAAACAGCAGGAGCAGGTGTAAACAATGCTCCTTCCATCAACATAACGTGATACTGCTTTTACATAGTATGTTACGACCCCTGAACGAAGCACATCGGGTTCAAGCCGACGTACAAGACTCGTTTGCATCCTCGCAACAAAATTTATTAATAAATGCAACCATTCATCACATCTCCCTCATCTCGTCATCATACCTATGTCGTCTACCTACGTAGCACTTTCAAACATCACCCCACACACCGTTTCACCTACGCGCCCTGTACATCCCACCTACCTACCCTTCCATGTAACCCTCCAGTACACATGCACACTTACCCATTGACACAAACAAGCGTCTAATCCTGATTCGACACACGCCCCGGCGCTTAACAATCGTTCCATCTCTCCACACGCACACGCACACACAGATAACGTTCATGCGTCGCTCCCACGAGAAAGAACAACCTACTCCGAAAAATTCAACATCACGATTCGTTGAATCCCCTCCGACATCCATGCCTTGAAAAGATGATCTGGTAACGAACGTTGCCAAAACTCAAACCTTTCTCTCTCCTACATACCCCCCC